TTTCCTAATTTAAAAAGCCAGAATCAGTCTATTTTTAGGACCCATCCACCTCAATACATTACCTCTGGTGTAACACTTTTTTTTTTTTTTTTTTAAATCGAGAACAATCAACCCACATTATTATCTATGCAATGCTGCCCTTTGGTCAAAAGAAAGCATTCCCACGTTGTATTGCCTCTGTAAAGTACATCACAGGGAAAAATAGGAATCAATTGCTATGAATGACATTTTTTTTGCAATTTACATTGTTCAGTTGTTTTCCTGTTTCTAAATCCTTCCCAAACACATGGTGACATATAGGCTAAAGAAAGAATCCTATCAGCACACATCAACATGCATGTGCAAACACATGGATGGCTTATATAGATGTGAATGGGTCCTTAGATCAGGCTTTATAATGAAAGGAAACACTTGTGATAAGTTGCTGTGGGTGACCGTTTTCTTTAGTGCAGTTTTCAGAGATGAGATCCTTTTTGGTGCCAAAATATGTTTTTTGTTTCTGATGCACTTTACAGATTTGCACAGCCAGCCTGGTGACTTACTTTGCTCTTCTGCAACACAACCCAGTCACCTTACCATTCCCAGTGATTGGGCAGTGAAGAGGCAGAAGAATGAGTCAATTTCTCTTGGTTGGCCCCAAATGTTGTCCCTCCCTTTCCCAGTTTGAATGCTGCTGTACAAGGCAGAAATTAAGTTAAATTCAGGCATTGACACTGGTTGGACATAAAAAATACATTTAATTTTTTTAAATGCATTCGTAACTGCTTTGCTTTTTATGATATTTGTCTGGAGTTTGTCTTTAAAGGACAAATAGTGAGGCTTGGGGGGGTTGAAAAAAAAGAAAAGTCAAGATTTGAAAGTATCAATGCATCTTGTAATCGTTTTGAGGTTTTCAATGAAGGTAAATGTTTTATGAGAACTGTAAGTCTGTTGAATCGCCCACGGCCATATTTATCAGAATTTGTTGGTGTGATCTTTGTTAGATTTTCATTTCATTAAGAGATCTCCATTGCTTCATTAAGACTGAGACTCTTGGAACAATGGAGCAGTGTCCCTGCTACAGGTTTGAATAGACCAATGTTCTATTATATGGTTCCATCTAATCAGTTATTACAACCCCCTTTATAGGACATTTTTACCTTTCCCCAGCTATGCAGTAGTTGTCACTGTAGTATTAATCATCTATGTATTTCAGTACCTATAAAGGCTATTTTTATTTAACAGAAGTGGCAGTAGTGGAGCACAGAAAATATTTAGTTAGATTCTAATAGTTAACGGGCAAAGGGTTTATCCTTGACATATGACTGGCAGAGAACAGAGCCAGAAAATACAGTTTAAGGCAGGAGAAATTCTAGATGTGGCGAGGCGACACTTTAACCGCATTACAGGAAAACGGCCTTCATTCAGCGCAATCCCCTCTGCTTACCTTTCCTTTGTACTGCTCAGTGTTACTGCTCTTACCGCTTGGTCTCTATGACAACTGTTTAAATTGGGATGGGTACCTGTCATCTGGAGTATTACTGAGAAAAGTGTTAGTGAATACACAGTCCCATGGATGGAGCATTTCAATGTAATCCAATTTTAATTGAACTCTAGAGACTTTGATGTGCTGCATAGGTTGGGAGAGTGTTATTCCTGGGAGAAATTACAGCAGCCCAGCACAGCTTCACCAGTCCAGACTGTCATTGGTTTAAAAAAAAAGCATTAGCATCAGACTTAACCTTCCCCATAAAACATCTCACTCCTCTCTCACCATGGAGAGTGTGCAGTGTGCTTCAAGTCACTGCAAGGAGTCTGCTTTCTTAAGGGTTTCTAGATGCAACTGACTGTTATGAATATGAAATAACATTGGCATTTGCCAGCATATCCACTATTCTGAACATTATCAATGATTGCATTATGTACATAATATACTCACCGAAACAGATATTTAGATTGGTTGTAGATTTCTTTCAGCAGAAAATGCAGTTGATCACGGTAGTGTTCTTTCCCTTTGAATGTTCAACTATTCCCAAAATCCTTTGCAGTAATTAGCAAATAGTGTATATTACAAGGAGGAGCAGGTCTTGTATTTGCTGACACAATGCTTTTGTCTTCCATTCTATGATAGAAAGTCTTATTAAACAACTTAAGTGAACAATTCTAATTTGTGATACAATTATATTCTGGATTGTTTTAAGCTTAAAATAAGCAGTGTTTTTAGCAACTATTGACAACATCACATTAGAGCAGTGATGCTTAACTTTCTTTATATAGAAGGCCTCGAGTGTGGCTCCTGACATTTCCAAAGGGCCACATATAATATTTTGTAAATGTAATTCTACAGAAGGACTCGTACATTTAACAGGAGATGGTCAGAGACTATGGACATGCTGCAGGAGAGGGTCAGAGACTATGGGCATGCTACTAGAGCTGGTCAGAGACTATGGGCATGCGACAGGAGATGGTCAGCGACTATGGGCATGCTACTAGAGCTGGTCAGAGACTATGACCATGCTATAAGAGATGTTCAGAGACAATGGCCATGCTACAAGAGATGCCCTGAGATGCTGTGGTCAGAGACTGCAGACATGCTATAAGTAGTTGGAGACTGGGCACATGCTTCAGGGTGCAGTCAAAGGCTAGAGACATGTCACAGGAGACTGATAGACATCACTGCTATATTCTCTGAGAAATCCATTATGAAAGATCAGAGTTAAACAGAAAAAGGAAGTTAGTTTGAAAGAAACAAGTAATTTAACTACTAGCACTGAGTTGAAACAATATTTCACTGGCCTGAGTAAGAACCTAGGTAAGGAAAACACATACTACTGTCTGTCAATAAAAAGTCCAGGACAACAGGACTAATTGCTATTTCTTCTGGGGACAATTGGTCAAGTGTCTATGGTTTGGAGGAGTCCACAGACATAAAGATTGTTGCCTCAGCCAGCCCTGTAAGAAAAAAGAAAACAGAAAATAATGCCTGCCATTGCATCATGTAATGCTTAATGCGCTAATCATGTTTTTCACAAGCCATATTCATCTTCATCATGCAATCTTTACCATTATTTTATTCTGTGTGATTTTGCTGGGATAGTTTGGTCTATGTATTATGGCTATTCCTATGTATGTGAAGTTGCAGCTTCTATTTGGATGAGGTGTCTGACCTACTTTATATGCCTATAAATATCACAGTTGAAATGCCGTCAGCAGGTACCTGAAGAGATTAGCACTTAAAGCCTTGTTTTCAATATATTTCTTATCTTCAATCTCGACTTGAAATCAGCCATTGGGTTACATTGCCTTTACTGATGCATGATTACAGATTAATTACCAAAGAATATAGGAATTTAGGAACTCATTAAAGTAGACATAAATCCTAACGAACAGGAATTTACAGTAGTATTACTAAAGCACTTTGTATCTTAGATTTTTTTTTTTTTTGAACAAGAATTTCTTATTCTGGTCTGTTCATAGCCTCTAAAGTGTTTAATCTTTAGCACACTGCATTACGTCACCACATCTAGCCAGTAAAATATTTTAAACCAAGCATTTACATAGCCTGCCCATTGTGGACACACACAATTCCTTATTAATACTATTATTGTACATACAAATCTTGTGTTTGATGCACTTTGAAATGAACTTGATAGACTTTCAGCCTAATCAGCTATGATAATAGCCTGAGCTGCCTATTTTCACCATGAGGAAGCGTGACATGCAGCATGAAATGACCATCTGCTTTCTGTTCATCCACCTCATGAACCCTTGACACAAGCTGACTGGTGAATGCACAGCACCCTTTATTTCCATTCACTCCCATAACACTACAGAGAGCAAAGTATAAGCATACCAGTGAGGGTAATTTAGTATATAATCTATCTATCTATCTATCTATCTATCTATCTATCTATCTATCTATCTATCTATCTATCTATCTGTCCATCCATCTTAATAACCAGTGGCCATGGGTTCCTCTTTCTATCAGCTTTGTTGTATAACAATGAGCACTGTAACTTAAAAACAAAATAACTTTATTCAAACAAACTTGACAAGCATTGTCCTTTAAAACCATTCAAACATATCATAGTGTCTATCTGTCAGACTGTCCTCTGTGCTTTCAAGTCAGCCTCTATATTTTTGCCTGTCTCACTCTCTCTCTCTGTCTCTGCCTCTGTCTCTCTCTGTCTCTGCCTCTGTCTCTCTCTGTCTGCCTGTGTCTCTGTGTGTCTCTCTCTCTCTCTCTCTCTCTCTCTCTCTCTTTTAGTGTATCAATGTAGGCGACCTCTCAGACTTTTTTTCCCCCTTTCTTTCTTTCTTTCATTCGTTCTTTCATTCTTTATTTCTTTGTTTTTTAAGTTTTCAAGTTCACTTTCATTTACTTGCCTAGGTGCTAATTCACCCATAATTTAACTGATCCATGTTGTGGATCAGAAAACCATAACCTGCTTTACTCGGAGCTGTTGTTGCATGAAGCACACAATTTAGTGACCTTGCTTTATTAGTTACTATACATAAAAACAAAAATAAATGTTTTATCATTTCTATCCAAATAATGTTATAAAAACATTGATTCATTTTCTCTAAGACTAATTGTTAATTATGCTGTCACAGTAGTTTGCAAAATAGTGGGGTTTAGGTTTCTTTTTGTTAAGTGTGCTGGGGCATTAATGTGTTCTGCTGTTCTCTAATTTTGTAGATGAAAGTGGTATAACAATAAGCAGTGTGATTAAAAAAAACTTTATTCAAACATGCCTGACAAGCGTTGTCCTCTGAGACCATTCAATCATACCAGATTGTCTTCATGCTGTATTTCCCATAGGTTCCTGTTATAGTCCAAAGCAGCTGATCCTCAAGGACTAACATTTTCTAATTAATCTCTTATATTAAGTGACGATAATGAATTCACAGAGAACAGGTTTAAAGAAAAGGTTCTGATAAAGAAAACTGAATTGAAAATAATATATTGAAATGAAAATGTGATACCAAACTCTTGTCTTCTTTACCCTCTGTTTGTCCAGGTTCTTGCTTACACTGAAGGCCTCCATGGGAAATGGATGTTCAGCGAGATTCGGGCTGTCTTTTCCAGGCGCTATCTCTTACAGAACACAGGACTGGAAGTTTTTATGGCCAACCGCAGTAAGTTACACCTTTTTTAAAATGGATATTTTGCTATTAACTTTGTGTCTTGGAGTCTTACAAAAACATAAACTGAAGAAGATTGTGCTCAGATATGGCACATATGGCAAGGGTACACACTTAAGTTACAAGGAGACATTCGAAATTATACAAGAAATTGATTACTTATGGTAGCAAATTGTCCCTCTCATTTCTGGACACTGTGCTACATAAAAGTGAGAATCAGGTTGCTGCGGTCAAAAGGAACACTTCAGTCACTTGCTATCATGAGGCCAGTGTTAATTCCGTCGACTAATAATTTCCATCATAGTTTTCGTCAACACTTTTCCAGTGACTAAAACTAGACTAAAATGAAATAAAGACAACATCATAATGACTAAAACTATAACGAAAATATATTGACATTTTAGTCGACTAAAACTAGACTAAAATGTTAGGGAGAGATGATTTGAGAAGAGATCCAATCAGAACTAATCTATTTGGACTTCCAATTCCGGTTCCATCATAAATGGACGGCTAACAGGTAATATGCTTAATGGCATTACAGCCAATATAGTTTTTCATTTTAATAGAGTTTCACTTCTGCTTGAAAGAATGAAGAATGTTGTTGAAAACACTCAATATTATTGTTTGTTGGTTTAATCTAATTTTAAGTTAAATAAAGACATGTTATATATCACAACAGTTAAATCTGTATCCGTATTGCATGTTCAAGCCTTAATACCATAAATAATAACAGATGTTTACTCCAGGAGTATATAATGAGGTTGGAAATTCTAGAGCAATTCTTAAATTACTCTTTAACTAAACCCACTAGATTTTAGTAGACTAAATCTTCTGTAAGTTTAGTTGACTAAAATCTTATGATGTTTAGTCAACTAGAACGAAAACAATTCAGATGACTAAAATATATCTAAAACTAAATGGCATTTTAGTCAAAAGACTAAAACTAAATCGAAATTTGCTGTCAAACACTGCATGAGGCCCAGCATGAGTGTGACGTTTTGGCACACAACTGCTCAATGCAAATAATCTCCATATTTTACAATACTGGAAGCACATTCACTTGATAGAATCAGGTGAAGAATTGGAACGTTTGGCTTGGGAGGCAAACACAACCAACCTTTTCCTGTGCAAGAAAGTTCATCATACAAAGTGTTCTACAGTGATCAGTGGGTGTTGTGTTAAAGAACATGGTTCATTGAAACCTGCATTTTAACATATATGTGCTATAAAAAGGCAACTGTAAGGGGGTGATTGGTAAATGAAGAAGTACTTTGAGATGACTGTTGCTTTGTGAAATGAATATGGAGTCACCTAGTAAAATACTAAATAAAATATGGTCTAATCATAAATAATCCTTAGCTTTCAGCTTCTTTAAAGTGTGTATCCAGTCAAAACCTTTAAATATAGTTTTGGATAGTGAGGAGTGAAAAGTCAAATTTCTGTCTATGTTGCTGATGGAGATATATATATACACACACACACACTTCCTGTCTTGTGAAATTGTTGTCAGCAGGGCAGGAAGTGAAGGTAAATCTCTCTTTTGGAGCTTCATAAAGTAGTAAAACCCTATCAGGGCTGTTTAACCTTTCCTACTCTGTCCAAACCTAAAAAAAGAAAACAGTTTTGGCTGGACATACACTTTAATACATCAACAAAGCACATAAGCAATGTTTTGTGTTCTTCCAGCGTTGACTTCCTTTGCAGCTGTCTACATTCAATCGAAGTCAAAAAGGAAGTTGGTTCTTAAATACTTTCTTGTGCCAGGCGCTGTGTTCGCAGGTCTGAACAAGGAGCACATAACTTTATAATACAGCCATCACTGACTGTGGGTCCCACTCTGGTGTCTTAATGGAGGAGTATCTCCAATTAGGCCCACCAGCCTAATATATGTTATTGTCTCTGCCCTGGGGGCATACCCTGAATAGAACTGATAGTAAATCAGGTTGGAGTTAAGGTCTGTCAAAACAAAACACAAATTTAAAATGAAAAATGTAAAAAAAAAACAGCCATTGCTGAATCTTCTGCTTTTGGGCATTGTAGTTGCCATTTATACTTGCATCAAGTACACACAACATATTCACCAGTATTCATGGTGCATTTTGATTCAATATTATATCCTCCCCAGCTCACCTCCTTTGATCAGATGAAGTTGCTTTCAGCTGGTGTTCAGGGATTTTCAACATTCATTGCAGGTCTTGCTGCAACTGATAATCAGGAGAACAAAGGCCAAGTACATACAACTTGACATTATGTATCATACTGGAGATTTTTTTGAAGATTGGAGGCATACTTTAAAGTAAACCTGTCACAGACTTCAGCAGGTCAAACTAAGCCTGTGGTGGAATAATGCAGAAGCTGGAGAAAGCTTCAATGAGAATCACATATCGTAACCATTAATATAATAAAAGATATGGGCAGTTGAAATTTATAGGTCAGGTTCAAGTTTGACGTCGAGTTTGTCTTTTCCCTCCAACCTTCTACACCTTTCTGTCAGTCATCAAATCAACAATGAGAAAACACAGTACCCACTAATACTGATACTAATACAGAGTCGTGCACAGGTATAAATAAAAAGAGGATTTTTTTTGAGTGCTTGTTCATACCAGCAGCTGCTGGTGTGCATGTGCCTGGACGGCAGGAGGCCAGTCAGTGGTGCTGGGCAGGAGTCGGCTGTCAGATCGAGCTCTCCTCCACACACTGCTCGCTCAGCCCTCAGCCTCGTGTGACAGCCGATCCAGGATGGGAGAGCAGGCACAAGCACTCAGCGATCAGTGATCTTTTTCATTTCGGTGCACCTCTAGTTTCCACCTCTGTGCTTGACTGTAGGGATGGTGTTCTTAGGGTCATAGTCAGCATTTTTCTTAGCTCCAAACACAGCGAGTTGAGTTAATGCCAAAGAGCTCAATTTTGGTCTCATCTGACCACAGCACTTTCTCCCAATCCTTCTCTGAATCCTTTAGATGTTCATTGGCAAACTTCAGACAGGCCTGTACTTGTGCCTACTTGAAGAGGGGGACCTTGCGGGCACTGCAGGATCTCAGTTCATGGCGGTGTATTGTGTTACCAATGGTTTGTTTGGTGAATGTGGTCCCAACTACCTTGAGATCATTCACAAGCTCCTCCTGTGTAGTTCTGGGCTGATCCCTCACTTTTCTCATGATCATCCTTACCCCATGAGGCAAAATCTTGCATGGAGCTCCACACTGAGGGCGATTGATGGTTACTTTGCATTCCTTCCATTTTCAAATAATCACTCCAACAATTGTTTTCTTCTCACCAAGCTTCTTGCTGAGTCCTGTAGCCCATTCCAGCCTTGTGCAGGTCTACAATCTTTTCCCTAACATCCTTTGACAGCTCTTTGGTCTTGCCCATGGTGGTGAGGTTTGAATGGAAGAAAGAGATTCTGTGGACAGGTGTCTTTTATATACATATACATACATACATACATACATACATATATATACATAACGAGTTGTCATTAGGAGCACCATTCTAAATTGACAGGACTAATCTGTGTACCACATAGCCAGTCTGTGGGAGACAATTTATTGGTGGTTGGTAGGGGATCAAATACTTATTTTACTCACTGAACTGCAACTCAATTTATAACATTTGTATCATGTGTTTTTTTCTGGATTTTTGGTTGATATTCAGTCTCTCATTTAAAATACACCTATGATAAAAGTTATAGACCTTTCATTTCTTTTTAAGTGGGCAAATTTACAAAATCTGCAGGGGACCAAATCATTATTTTCCTCACTGTACATACTGTATACAGCTAACAAAATATCGAGAGAAAAAAAATAAACTGGCACTCCTCACCTTGTCCCCATTACCTAAAACATATCTCTGCATAAGGGGAACTAAACTTAGGGTCCAAAAGCTAATAACTTGCCCTTATATTTGTTAGCTGCAAATTCCTGTAGAACCCCCTGAAAAACTCTGATATTGCAAATATAGTGTGTGCGTTTTTCCAATATGGCCCCCTGCCTTGCGTTTACTTACAGTTGGTCATTGTGGATGCCCGTTACAGAGATTGGATGAGCTAGAGTCAGTGATAATAGAAGTTGGTTTCTTTTTGTTAATCAGAGAACCACAGTTGTTGGGGCTCCTAGAACATTCTCCAGGAATTTGGAGTTGACATTCATGCGCCTCTCTTCCTCTAACGCTGGCTTTGTTGGCACCGCTGATTCTCTCCTGCCTCTCCCGCGGCTCTTCAAGTTCCCCCTTATGCCACCACCGGCCTTGGGAATGGTCACAACTAGGTCTTATTTTCGGGGTAGGTCTTATTTTCAGGGAAACAAGGTATTTGAGCAGTGCTGCTATGGCATAGTACTATCTTGTCTGACAGCCTGCAGTAGCCGATCAGGAGCCAGGGGATAGATCTCCACTTCACTGTCATTTGTTCAGTACTAGAGCAGTTGGTGCATGGTTTGAGAAAGTCAGATACCCACTACCCACCCAGCACGACATAATGTCATGGGGCTTTTTACCCTCTTAGTGCTTCTAGTAGGCATTGCAGCCTGGGCAGTATAAATCCCTAGGACCCAGATTCTTGTTATTCCTTTGCCTTCAGGTTCACATCTTGTAATAAGGCTTTCCCTTGTTGCCATGCTAAATAAGACAATGGTAAGTTGTGCATATTGTAAACAGCTTTTTTGGAAATAGCCCCTTTTGGGTGTGGAAAGTAATGAGCATACAGTATATGCAAAGCTGTCATTGTTAATATACATTGCTTTATGTGTTGGTCTGACAATCTGTTTCTGTTTCACTCCTTTTCCCAAAGCTTCAGTCATGTTTAATTTTCCTGACCAAGCCACCGTGAAGAAAGTGGTATACAGTTTACCTCGTGTGGGCGTAGGCACCAGCTATGGTTTACCACAAGCCAGGTATGTCTTTATGATGATGCTTGTTTTTTATCATGTTTATGACATTTCAAAATAAATTGCTGATGACATAACGTACCCAGCAAGCAATATTTGTATCTAAAATGATCAAGTTGCATACGGTTTTAAAAAAACTACAAAAAAGAAACTTAAACCTTAACTCCAGGCAAACAGCTGAATACACAGGAAAAAAAAAGAATTTGTATTTGTGTCCATCCAGTTCTGAAATTTAAACAGCTCTGCCACACAGCACAATATCTGGTGACCTGATATGCAACCACATGATAATGCAACCACATGTACTGTGCACACGTGTACCAAAATGACGAATGCACCACACATAATATCAGTCTAAATTGCCTGTAAAAGTTGACTATAGATCATTTTTGGTACCATGTTTTTCAGTTTCAAAGCCATGTGCAGTTTTGGCGCCTGAAATATTTGGAATCTATTCACTCATCTTTTATATTTTTATTAAACCATTGTGTATTATCTTGTGTCTGTGTGCACTAAAATTAATTTGAGGGTATTTTTTGATGCTAGGAATATTGGTTTAGTAGATGGCAGTGTAAATATTGTGTGACATAAAAAAAAATGCAACTGCTACCATTTTATACTACAGGGTCTCTTCTTTCAGTAAATATATAATTTTCTGGAGGCTCTTTATGGATCTTTAGGTCTAAAATATGTATTTTACATTAATTTAAAAAAGTCTCTGATAGGGAAAAGGCTAAAGCAACATCCCACTATTCAAATAGACCAGAGTTTTTCATATATGTCAGTAGGCTGCTAGATTGGACTGACTGACTCCTGAATGCTTTTCTTGTCCACTTCTCTGTTATATTTATTGCTTCTTGCACCAACAATGTGTCCTGTTACTATTAAACTGCCTGTATAAGGTTTTGTGGCAAGCTCTGTTTTCTGACACAAAAAAAAGGTTAAAAAAAATAGCAACGCACAGAGATCATTGAAGAAATGTTAGCACCAAGGCTGCACTAATTCAGAAAGCACGCTGCTCTTGAGCAGCTCTTGTCGATCTCATATATTTTTGATGTAAAGACATTTCTGACAACTGGCTCGTAGATCATGGGAGCTGTTGAGACAAAGTCAGAGCTGTCAATCAAACAGTCCATGATGCTCATCAAGCGCACATCCTCCTTCTCTGTCCCAGATGTTACTGATGTCATTCATCTGAACTGGTGACATGCATTAATCATGCAAGTATAACATCCTGTATCTTGCACAATCCCTCTAATTAGGTGCTGAATTGTTATCTTAAAAGGGTTTGTGTTTGAAATGATACAATAATTAAAAATTAATGTACAGGATTTGCTAAATAGAATACAATTTTTATGCCTACTTTGGCTGACATTTGGTTATTATTTGCCCTGATATTACATACTACACCATCCATCCTAACCACCTTCTGGCTGTCTACACAATTGATAAAGAAGCTAATTTTACTAATATTTTACTATTAATAAAGATATGCTAATTGATTTGCATATGTGATTACTGTATTAAAAAGAAGTTCTGCTATAAAAAATATGAAGATCAAGAAAAGCATGCACTGTACAGAAAATGCATTGCTTTTTAACCCTACTGTCGGTAATATGATTAATAACAACAACAAAAAAATGACTATCTGAAAGTACAAAGCATCTTACCCAGTGTTTGTTGCTGGTATTGATATAGCCATTTTTATTTTCATGGCCTGTACATACAGAGATTTTGCATTAGCAAATTAATTCCCCCATTTATACCCTTTTATGAAGCTGATCATACACTTTGCAATCTGACCTATGGTCTACCAAAAAATCTAGTACAAGAGCATAACTGACTAGATATAGAGTAAGTGGAATGTTTAGATAGAGCTTCTTCTACATAGTTTTGGTAGATCTGATGGAGATGGGCAGAGATTGCCATTTAGATGACGGGGTCCTTTTTAACTACCTTAAACCCACAAGGAATACAATAGAAAGTAAACATCGGAATCCAAGCAATCTACCACCAATTAGTTCAACCGACCACCTGAATTCTGTCTGTTGTGCAGTCAAAACTGGGTCGTAAATTGACAGTTTTAAAATATTTTATTATAAAAATCAATTAAACAAGTGACATAATTACAGCATTTCCCAGATGTGTTTAGATTTTCTGCCTAGCTCAAGCAGGGAAATGTCTCTCCTGTCTCCATGTGGTCGATCAAAACCCACCGATTTATGTCTTCAAATGTTTTGCCTTTTTAAAAATAAATTAAAGTGATATTAAAGCCAAAAGGTTTTAAAGCTATTTCAGATGCTGATTAAATCACAATGGATGCTGCTTCTTGATGTTTAAAAGTTTTAGTTTCCTGCAGAATGAGCTGGTTCCCCGAGCACTGGTCCTGATCTCCTGTTTTAGGCTCTTTTCTCTTGCCAGGGTTATATGGAGCCACCCCTGTGTGTTCTAGTAAGCTTGTGTGTGTGTCTCCACAAACACACAGACAACTCCTTTCCCCCTCCTCCTCATTTCTTCTCCCAGCTAGTAGATGGGTAGTTGCTGGAGACTGCTCTGTTCCTTGTGATCTTGTAGTAGACATGACGTTTAGGAAAGCTGAGCTAAGAGAGTTTGAGCCAACTGTTCTCAAACCTGATGACTGTAAGTGCTTGGGTGACGATATAAAGAACTAGTTTGTTAGGCATTATATATTCGATCTGGATTAATTATTGAAAAAAATTGAGAGTGTAATACTACTTTAAATTTCTTCATGTATGTCCAGCTTAAGCCTACCATAGGCTCCAGGTGCCTCTGGAGTTGCTTACCATTTGTTATAAGTATCTTTTCATTATAAATCAATATATTCTTCGTAGCAGCAAATTAAATGGGTAACTAATCCTTGTACAGGGTCAACTAAAAAAAATAAATAAATAAAAATGTCCTTTCCCACAAGGTTTCATTGAAGGTGGAATATATAAGGTGTAAATACTCCAAACCAACCCTTGTTTAGGGGTTAGTCATTTTAAATGTGCTTGCTTCATAAATAACCCCTATTGTAGATGACTGTGTGCAGTATGTTTAGCTTTGTGTGTTTGGATGCCATATGTGTGCAATATCGCTAAATAGAAGTATAATTTGCCATCTTATTCTAGGCGAATATCCCTGGCTACTCCCCGGCAGCTTTTTAAATCCTCCAACATGACTCAGCGTTGGCAGCGACGAGAGATTTCGAACTTTGAATACTTGATGTTCCTTAATACCATAGCAGGTAGGGCTGCTGGCACTTCAATCCTTTCTAATATGTTTATGTTTGTCAAAATGTTGAGCACCGTGACTTGATCGAATGCGTTTATCCCTCTGGGACTCAGCTGCAGCCTTATGATAGACTCTGAAGCACTCACATTAAATTTGATAAGGGAACGTGGAGCCTATCACCAAGGTTCTCTCGATGCAGCGAATGTTATGGAGGCAGTGCCTAACTCTCTTGCCATTTCCCCAGCTTGACAGCTTTGTCTGAAGCTTTATTAGAGGCAACAAACCATCACCAGAACCTGTCTGGAAATAATAATGGGGGAAAATGTAATTTTACTATTCCGTCATTTTCAACAACAGCAACCAGACACAAGTCTAACAACAGTATCCCTGCCTAGTACAGATGTCACCTGCAGTGTGGCATGATTAGGTAACCATGTTGTATCTGCTTACCTCTAATCTCACATTTCACATAGAAAATATACTGAGTGTGCAGCTTTCCCATCAGTCACAAGATGCTTTGTAGGCGTTTTGTCACATAGCTCTTAAATGTGTGCTGCGTCTTGGAAACAAGGTGGCTTTGCAAATTCCTATATTTTAAACTATGCCTAACTTGGCTTAATTGCCAGAGAGTAAAATTGCCCCCCAAAACCTTGAGGTCATGTGACCCAAGCCTAACTCCTACTTCGTGTTATCTTCCACCTCTTTACTGACATTATGACAATGAAGAACCTTTTGTCTTTTCACATCCCTTTTTGTTTTGTTACCTGCTCTCTATGCTTCTGGAAGCTTTATTCGGCTTAGTAAAATAGGATTCTGGACCCAAGTTAATAGGAAAATAACAATGTTAGTATTTGAAGGGGCTTTCTTAATATTTAAAGTACATGTATACCCAAAACATTTGTTTTTCATTTTTAACCAGGGTCTGGAAGAGTCAAAACCCCCATTAGTTTATTGTTTGTTGTCCGTGTCCTATTGAGGAGATGTTTCTTCATTTCCTGTCATCGAGATGGAACCGGAAGTGAGAGAAAATCTCCACAGTGAGGGGAGTTTTCCTCTTAGTTGTCCCAAGAACAAGTATGCCCATTAAAACAGTTCCCTTTAATTTGTGTTCTTGGGACAACTGTAACATTTCAGTTTTACCATCACTTGAAATTTTGGTCACAATTGGCAATAGAACAAAGAGAGAGGTTGAATCTCCCCAACTCGCACACAGACAGCAATAAAAACCAAAAACTTCACAGGAGTTCTAACCTTTCCCCACTCTACCCAAAATGTATATAAAAAGTCAGGCTATAAACACCCCCCATTTGGGCGTTCTTTGTCTTTATGTCAAAGAAGCAGTTCCTGTGACAAAAACTGATTCAAAAATCAACTTTTGTCAAGTGGAGGGGTGATGACGGGGCTACCCCACAGGACTTGGACAAATTTCAACCAGTGTATGGCCTGGTTAATTCGCAAACTCTACTACCATTTTCGCTTTATTGGTGAAATTGTTAAATTAAGTGTTATAAAAGTTGTTTTGTTTTCTTTTTTTACAATTTTGCCAGCTTAATTAATTTTGTTCAAAGTAGATTTAATCCATAACTGAATGACATTTAGTTTGAGTAAGCACAGTGTATCATAAAGAATTTCCATTTTATTTAAAGTGCTTCTTTACATCTCTTTTTTTTTTTTTACACTGTAGTGCTGATAATTTTCTTTACAGCCACCTCTTGTCCACATACACGTACTCCAGGGATAGCTGTATGGTATTTCTCAGGGTGGGTTTCCTATAGTGACAACAGTGGACCATGCCTGTGTAACGTATGTTGAAATGATCACTTGTAGCCTCCATTGGAAACTCATGCGACAAGGTGACAATGCAGGATCTCATTTTGGTGACAGGGACAGTGTGCTGCCACCCTATGACAGAAAGTGTCTGAACAAGGAGCTTCATGGCAGGATGAATTATAATGAAAGCTATTATTGCAGAAATACTGAAAATGATGTTTGAAAATACATTAACATGTTCAAACCTATTTGAAAGTTTACGTATAGATTTTACATAGACTTTAATCCAGTGCAGCATTCTTTGTCACTGTTAGCAATTTGCATCACCTGTATCATTACTTTTATTTCAAACACAGCTAGATATGTGAATATTTTCTTCTAGCAAAAACACAGATTTACACTTAAAGCACCACACTGGAATTATTTTATTAAGGTCATAGCTGTCACCCCTTCTATTGTCATATGCCTGGGGGATTTTTGCCTGCAGCCCCTGATACTGCACCATTTGCTTTGGTTTAGACTAGTTTAGTAATATAGTTCAGTACCATGGTAACAGCCAAAGAATACTTGTAAACAATACTTGAGATGATGGCATTTTGCAATAAAAATGTAATAAATAGTTCCAGTATACGTATGCTTTTTCCCCATTCTTAACATTTCCAAAGAATTTACATTTCAATTAGTCTGGTGCTCAGATTTACACTGCCCTGCCAGACTGTACAACTAGCCTGGTGACCTGACTTTTCTCTACAGCAGTTAAGCAATAAACCTAGGTCACCAACCTGCCTCAACCTGTGATTGGACAGTGAAAGTGCAGCAGCAGATCACCCCCCTGCTACTATTGCTCTCTCCTCTTGTGAGCATGCATTTTGTCACATGGGCATGCAATAGAGCTTGAAAGACCCCTGCTAACCATCCCTCTCCTAGTCTAAATGCTGCTGTGCGGTGTATTACAAAAGATTGATACCAAGTTAAAATTCAGGTATTTATACCAGCTGCATTTATAGATGCACAAGATTTTTTTTTTTTTTATGAATATATAACTGAATTAATTGTAGCTTTTTTAAAAATCTCAGCTTGGAGTTCTACTTTGAGCTGTTTTAAAGTATTGGTTAGTAGCTAAACCCATTGTCTGAGACAGCATGTGACAATGACCTTGAAATTCTCTTATATTGTTAACCTAGTAGAGTTTCTCCATCTATCCCTTTCTCACTCCAATTCCCCACATCCCCCAACTTATGATGTGCAAGCTTTTGCTAACTAATTATGTGTATATTTAGCTGCAGCTTGCGTGAAGCTTATTATTGTCATGTAATTAGATGTAACTCAAACTGCTGGCTTCTAAAAAAAATCATTAAAAATTCTTTCCTAATGACCTAGAGATGACAAAATGTCTGTAAAGTGTGAAAATGCAGACAAGCATAGGAACATCGCTTGTAGAGTGTTAATCCAGATGCTGAAATCATCTAATTAAACAATATTTTGCTGTCATTAACATTATCACCGAGGAATTGCAGTTCTAATTTTTCTGTCAGCTGTCCCTGAGCTACTTCACCTTTTAAAACTAAACCATTAAATGAGACATTTTAATTAACTAAAAAAAGTTTTCTTTTTGTTTTTTTATCTGCTAGGGCATCCTTTGTCTCAATCAAACCTGTTTGTCCTTCACCTAATTGTGTATGTCCCCTCACCATTGCAGTTACTATTTAATATTCAGCTTTCCTGATTAATCTGTGTAAAATGAGTAGCTGGAATAGTGTCAGCATTTGCAGATGGTCTGGGAAAACGCCGGCCGTCTAAAGTCCTAGTGTCACGGGACTTTGTTGCAGCAGCTACATATTACCAGAAAACTGATCTATTAGGTGTGCTACACATTAGGGCTGTGTTCTGAATTGCATCCTTCTGTAATATTTATAAACCAGTTGCTTCCAATCCCAATATACATTGCCATATTTCTATATTGATCTTCGATATAAGAATATTTATAACATGTAAACTGAACAGTCCATTGATAGTATATGTAAACCCAGTTATTCAAATCTCATTCAAGCTTTAACCCCTTAAGAACAAAGGCCTTTTTTTCATTTTTTTGTTTACATGTTATAATCCACATTTTAGGCCTGAAAAATACTATATCCCCCAAACATTATATATTTTCTGAAAGCCACGACCCTATAGAATAAAATGTTGGCAGTTCCAAATTGTTATGTTGCTCAACATTAGCGCAACATATTATCAAACCCAAAAAGTTTGTGAAAAATGCATTTAAGTTACATTTACTGCCCCAAAACACTATATAAAACCATTTGTTTTTGTAAAATATAAAAGATGAGGTTACAGTGGGTAAATAGATACTCAACATGCCCAGGTTAAAAATTGTGGGCATCCGTGAAACTACGACAGAACTTAGTACCCCAAAAAGTCCATAGATATTGGCCCTAGAATTATTGATCTCACTTCGGCGTGCACGGTGATACCCAGCAGTGTAGTGCAGCCGTCGTTTTCGTACGTAGGCGCAGTGGATGCGTGTTTACATGACGACGCGCATGCTCGCTGGGGCAACATTTTTTTTTTTTTTACATTTAATATTATAAAAAAAAAAAAAATCAACTTTAATTGCTATCACATAGGGGGCTCTTTAAGGTGATGCTGGGGGTCCAAAAGACCCCTAGTATCACCTTTACACTCTAAATAAGCTATTGAAGTGCAATAGCAATGACAGCCCAGGGACCGGAAGTGATGCAATACGCGTCACTCCCGGTCCCATAGAACTGGATGGAGATCAGTGAACATCACCCGAGAAGCCGGTCCTGGGCCCGTAGGTGGGGCAGCGGAGCCCAGGAAACACAGCAGGGGTGTCGAACGGAGGAGCAGCCTGGTTACCGGATCGCAGAAGCGATCTGGCGGCAGCTGAGCCACCAGGATCGCTTCTGCTGTAAAGCAGGTTGCCAACTCTACAAAACTGAACAGACTCCTGGTGGCTAAAAGCCGCCGGGAGTCTGTTTAGCCCCTTTAGACTTCATGACGGGATTATCTGCAAAGAGAAATACCATGCAGTCATTTCTGGAGTACATACATGTAGCCAATCTACAAAGAGGCTGCAGGAGATCAGGTTGCAACAAAGACTAAGTTGCAACAAAGAATGACAAAAAAAAAAGTTGCAAAGAAGTATTTCATCTTAAAAATCTGGCATATTGTTCATGACACACAGTGCTTTAGCAAACTAAATGTCATTTAGTTAGGTTTTATATCAACTTTACTATGTGATGAACCATTTCAGGTTAGGGAGAGCCTGGCTAGTGCTGCTTTCATAAGACTACAGATCAGACATCATTAGGACACTCCAAGTAACTCACTCATGTATTCTTTACCATATTCAGTTTAAAAATGCTCTTTTTTAATTATTAGTAAAAGTTGGAGTACAGAATAATAATTTCTGTAACTGCTTGCTACACTGCAAGTGTCCCGGTTGGGGTGATTCATCATGGTGACCCATATCACCAGAACCAATTAAGTGGAAATCCAAATTTGTTTAGTTAGGACTGGGATAGTGGGGGGTACCTACCAATGAGGAGTTTGTTGACAACCGTCAGAGGTGGGTTTTTCATACTTTGGGGAGATTTCCAATCACTTCCTATAAAGTCTTTGATATAGGAAAGGAAAGTGCCATGATTGGGATGCAGATTGAAAATCGAAATCATATTAGAATCTAAATCTTTCTTTTTTAACTAAGTTTTAAGGGTGTTTGAATGAATCTATTGGTAAAATAGAAAAACCTTTAACTTACAGTTAATAGGTATCAGGTCAGCATTCAGCTCTCACATTGTGTGAATATCATACTTTAAGTTTTGGCAGCTGATAGCACTTTTGTTAAATCTACATAGAACAAGGAAAGCTCTGTTCACCATCCCAGTACTGGTAAACCAACAATCTTTAAAATGTAGAAGGAAACAGTCTCATGACAGCATAGTAAATCTCCTCCCAACATGGGAATTGATAACCTGGGTTAGTTCTGTCAGTTTCTGCAGGGATACATTTTCATTTAGTTAGCAGCCAGGGGGAACACCAAAAGCAGATCATTAATGGTTGGTGTTATTCACTTGTTGCTGCATGCCATTCAGCACTCTACACTTTTGGTTCTCTGAAAAAAATGAACCTCTTTTTAAGAAAGGATTGTGTGTCCAGCATGGTGAACATACAGAGGACCTATCGGCGTTCCACTGTTTAACACGTACTGAAAATGTAAATAGCAACAAACATCTGGCTATAACTTAAGCAAGCATTAAAGGAGGATTATGGGGTGAGCAGGCGCGTAACTAGAAATCACAGGGCCCCATAGCAAAATTTTGTATGGGGCCCCGTGATTGCTAGTTATGCCACTTGCAGAGCCCACCTGAGAGTGACCCTGCAGAGCCCACCATAGACGCTCTATAGTGGGCTCTGCAGGGTCTCAGATGGACTGCACACCTTACCTGTCAGCGGCGCGCTGTGCCGGCTCTGTGGTCGCAGAAGCCCCGCCTCCTATCGACGGCCCCGCCTCCTATCGACGGGCCCGCCTCCTCTTACATCATTGGCCCCACCTGCTCTTAGGTCGCTGGCCAGTGATGTAAGAGAAGGCGGGGTTGCTCTTAGGCGGGCCCCGCCTCCTTCTTCACTGCGGTGGTCCGAGAACTAGTTCGAACACCGGTGTGTAACCAGCCTCTTCTGCCGCAGCTGCTGGCTGTCACTGACACAGCCGCTGCGGAGCTGTGTCGGTGACAGCCAGCACCCTGATTTGCCATAGCGACCCAGGCGGCCCACACGGCATCAGAGGGATGCCCTTGTTGGGCCCCCCAGTGCCCGGGGCCCATAGCGGCCGCCTGGTTCGCTATGGCGGTTGTTACGCCACTGGGGGTGAGTGAAAAACACTAATAATAATTCACTGAAGCTGTCACAGGTCGGCTCTATTGATCAGGAAGTCAGCAAACACATACCGCTGATCGCTGACTTCCTGATCCTCTCCCTGCAGAGAGCAGTGACTGTAAGTCACCGCTCACCGCAGGGATTCCCCCTCTCTGATCCTCCGGTGCTGACGGGAGGAATGGACAGGGACAGTATATGTCCTCCTGTGACCCATAGTTCTCCTTTAATGCCCAGTAGAGTCACCTAGGAATCTAAGCAAATAAATTATAATTTTCAAATCAATCGCAGTCTTCCATGCAGTCTCTGGATTCCAGGCTCAGGATGTACACATAACCCTGACACAGACTCTGCCCCTTCACACCATGCAACAATCCAGCACCAGAAAGTCAAAGGCTAGCAGAGGATGATCTAGCATTGGTCTATTGAATGGCAGCTCTTGTGCTTAGTGTGTGAAGGTGCTGGGCTTACCAGCATTTGGTAGAAAAGTCAATTCCTTGTGTACAGACTAGATCAGCCTTCCAGGGGCTACGCAAGGAGACAACAGTTGGTTCAAGCATTATTACAGACACTTGCAGGCACCATGATTTTCCTGTATCCTAACAATATGTTAGCTGTGCCAGTTTTTACTCTAATAAACAACCTATATACTGCCAATCTTGTCTAAATAAACGGCACAATTTGCAGTGAGCCCACCAATCAGATTTCAATTTTCCAAGTCAGATAAGTTGAGAGGCCTTTAATTTGGTTGTTTCCATGTTGGTGCACTTTGGAAATCACAGTAGTCATTTGAATTTATTTGTTAAATAAGGCAGAAGGTGTCCTCATTGTTTAAGAATATGATTAGTGATATTTCTTCACCGTATTCTGTTAAATGTTGGTTGAGCTTAGTAGGAGCACTGACCTGCACCAGATTAGTGTTCTATTTTTTTCTGCAAAGATTGGTATATCTATGTGGATTTGTGGGCAGTTCTATAATTACCCGAGCAATGGAAATAAAAGGGGAGCAATACCCTGAGGAACCAATCAAGTTTCATTTTTCAGATGAAACAAAGAACCAGCATCTACCTTTGCAATGTTGTTCTCACTCCACTTGTCATAATCCATCTCCTCAACCAGCTCAGTTTATTTAAATCACCAAATTCACTTTAGTGTTTGAGTTTGCTATTTCCAATATTGCAAAAAAAATATATAAAGAATAGTGACTTCGTATGTACTGATATTTATGTAAGTATGTGTTTCATTTTCGGTACATCTTATCCTTCTATATTTATACATTTACATGCTTAGGCACTCACTTTATGTTGGTGGAATACTTCAATGCAGTGACCTCCTCTGTGCTGCAATGTTGAATGACTGGGAGTTCACTCAGGGAGGGGTGGTTAAAGCAGGCAGTTTGTATTCTACACAGAGTGCATCATGTTTGTATATGCCACCCATGTCAAGCAGAGATATACAGCAAAGTGTATCTAAACCCAAGAACAAACTTTTAAATTGTTTACCAGGCCTTAGATGTGGTTGCTGCATTAGTTTTATTCTTTGCCTTTATTTTTACCTAGTGATCCTACCCGTAACACACTTTCTACGAGACTTCCTGTTCCATGGTGACAACACTTATCGTATTGTATCTATGGTGGAGCAGCAAGAACAGGAAGTCTCTTAGGACTACAGAACAACTCCCCCTCTTCATAACACTGGAGGAGCTCTTCTGTAGGTCACAGAGGTAACCTTGAGCAGGTTAGATAAGATTGTTTGAGGTAAGTGCCGAGGATAGCACTGGATCTCTGGCAGGATCAACAGATTTAGTTTTTTTTTTGCACTTATACAGGCATAACAGAACACTTTTAATGGTATATTTAACAGACCAAAAGGGAGCAAATGAGAAGTTCACTGTTAGGGTTCACATCACTGGCGGAACTACCAGGGTCGCAGCGGTCGCAATTGCGACCGGGCCCTGGTGTTCCGCCACTTGGTTAGAATCACTAGTAATTCTTTTGATTGTATAAGACTGAGCAATTACTGGGACCCTCTGCACCGCTCCTGATCCCCTCTGCACCCCTCCTGACACCCTCTGCGCCCCTCCTGAGACCTTCCGCCCCCCTCCTGACACCCTCTGCGCCCCTCCTGAGACCTTCCGCACCCCTCCTGTGACATTCCGCACCCCTCATGACACCCTCTTTACCCCTCCTGAGACCCTCCGCCTCCCTCCTGAGACCCTCTGCACCCCTCCCAAGACCTTCCGCAACCGTCCTCGGACATACCGCACCCCTCTTGAGACCCTCTTGTCCCGCGCTTGCTGGGGACCTCGTCAGCCTTTCTGTTAACCATGCGGTGCCATGGCGGCTGGGGGGGGGGCCTTCATGGTTTCTTGCACCAGGGCCCTGAAGGTTCTAGTTACGCCTCTGGTTCACATACATTTTAAGAATCATGAGGTGGGGAATTAAAAAAACTGAGAATCTACCGCTGTTCTTTTACATTTTGTAGATTATATAAATTTGAGTTTTAGTATAACTCATTTCACACACAGATATGAGCTACCGGTAGCATACTTTTGTATGCCAGGCCTGTGATTTTATTTCCAGTCTATCCTTACCTTGGGCATTAGTTTATCTCAGCACTCACATCAGGGAACAGTGCAATTAGATTAACATTTCTTACTGCATGACTTGAAATTCATTTTATGCGGGAGTTCAAAGGTTATCTGTTTTATCTGTTCAGCCCTGTGGTTGAGTGCAATGCACCGTGGGCACATTAGGATCGCATATGTTTTTTCTGAATACCAGACTTTACTAGGAACTTTATACTTCACAAGTGAAGTACAAGTTTGCTTGTACTTGTGGTATTTTTGTTTATGAGGAATATAATGAATCATCACTAAACGTGTGTGTGTGTGTCTTTTTATTATTAACACATGTGTCTCATTTCCTTAGGGCGAACATACAATGACTTGAATCAGTATCCTGTATTCCCATGGGTGTTAACAAACTATGAATCCGAAGAGCTGGATTTAACTTTACCAGGAAACTTCAGGGATCTTTCAAAGGTATTGGCACTATCTTGTTGCACTTTGAAGAGTGTTGTTTCATATAGGTATAAGCACAGTATAGCTTGGTATTGCTTACAGTGTAGCCCCACTTTTGTGGTCAAATGTAAGTAACCACAACTATATGTTTATTACATGTTCCCATTCTCACAGCATACCTAAAATATTTATTTCAAAAATATTTCTTACCTTTCTAGATATTTATTTGGAGCAGGATTATACATATACTATAGGCAGCATAGAATAGATGGCAATGTGCAGATAAGGGACAAACCTGAGGGACAGTTTTTGTGCATTAGCATGCTATGTATCACCCAAGCCTTGAGGCCTTTAATTATTGTTTGGACAGACAGTCCTGCACATCTAGTTTACAAGTGATAATGAAATCTACCAGCACAGTACAGACAGGTTTAATTATGACAGGCATAAAGGTGGCCATACACTGTGCAAATTTTGGCCGGTTCTTAAGGAACTGGCCGAAATTCGCACAGTGGTTGGTGCTGTCGGCTCCCCTTTGGCTGGTATTCCTCGATCAGCTGATCGAAGGAGCCATTGACTGCCTCTGCTCTGTTCCGGTATTCGGACAGCGGCTGTCGAAATTCAAAAGAGACAGCGAGGATTCCTCGATCAACAACCTTTTAGTGTTGAGGGAGGAATCTGCTCTATAATTTTCCTTCAGCCTGCGGTTTGAAGAAAAAAAATAGAACCGTGTATGGCCAGCTTAACTCATAAGCATTAATAAGAAGGTAAGAAGGACTTTTACATTTCGTATTTTTTAGACAAAAATGAGGAGTGGATCATGATGTCACCACCCCTCTCCCAATTAACAGACACCTTCTATTCATTGATAGAAATACTAGCAGGATTATTCACAAAAGGGTGAAGAGTTTGGAGAAAACAGAAGAAGTGAACAATCTAGGCCAAAAGTAGCTGATGTGAAAAAATTCTCCAGTTCAGCTCACTTTACAGTTCTGCTATTTCGTCCGTGATTGTTCACTTCTCCTGCCTTCTCCAAACTCTTCACCCTTTTGTGAATACCCTGTAGGTGTTCTTTGAATGGCCACTGTCCCCAGCAAGCAACTACCCCACCCTGTCACACCCCTGGTTTTCAGAGCAGCGGGAAAGCCACTGAACACAGCATGCGAACAGAACTGTAGTAGATCCTGCTACTACAGTGCTTTACAGGATCCCTAGTGGCCAATCAGGTAAGGTATATGCATACTTACATTGGGACAAGCTGGGTCATTGCAAGTATGCATAATAATACCTACCTTGCAACTTTTGTAGTCACTACACGTCTGATTATTTATGATGAGATGATCTGATGATTTATGTCTAGCTACAGATCTGCTAAAGTAGCTTACTACCATGCATGTCTATGAAGCTACACATATCTGGTGTGCCTTGGCCATTGGAAGCTGCAATTAATAATATGAGCAGATACTGAAAATAGTGAATTTGTAGCCAGAGCTAAATTCTGCAAAATTTACCAAAACTAAGACCTTTCAATAGCTGTACTCCATTAATACCTAGTAACCTAAGAGCTAGGGGGAGGTATTTCTGCATGTTCTGCAAATTGCTGCTACAGCACATGGCCCTAAATCTAACACACTACACCCTTAGTACTAACCACTATTGTAAAGTGAATTATATCACTGAGAGTAGGAGGGGCAAAATGCTGCTGATATGAAATGCAGGAACCTAGTGGTCCTTAGACATACCTGCAGCAGCATCCTAAACCTTCCTGTCACTGCCTAATCCTGGGTAACTCTGGCAGGCAAAAATCCAGTACTCCAGGTAGTCATAGAACTTGGCGCTCATGCCCACACATTCCTATTGGCTCGTCGTGATGAGGGACAACCTCACTAGCCAATAGTAATATGCTGGAGACAGGAAGGTGCTGGGGCTTGGGCCTGATATATTGCCAATTGTATTGATAGTAGCTGCTAAGAATCCACTGGTACTCCACTAGAAATTTTCTGAAACACAAAAAAACATTTTTATTACAATTATATTGGAATATAATGGTGTTACAGAATTCACTGCTATGGTTCAAGATAACTATTTTGCATGATATTTATCATTTTTGCCCTCTAATAGACCAATTTTAAGATTTTGTATTGGTAAGCCATGCATGCCCTAGTTTGACAGTGTATATGAGGGTTTCTTGGGGGCATTTTAAGATTTTTAGGTTAAGCTATGGAATGTTGCTTATGATAATAAAGCTTTATTTTAAGTACAAACATTTTCTTGAGCATTTACAGTACACATTGTGCTGCTGGTTTCCCAGTAATTTACTCATTTTACAGCAGGGTGATTACTGTAACTCTGTGCCAGAAATTTCCTGTCCTATCAGGTCCCTGTCTGGCAATCATTTTCCTTGGGGAACATATAATGTAAATTTAGCCTTATACTAATTTTCAGAAACTGTTGTACATATGTCTCCTATTCTTCTGGTTGGATTGAGTGACATTTTCTTTTACACATGAGTTCATTAAAGTTCACTGTTACTTGCAGTGACGGGAGTGTGAGGCATCACACCCACCCTCACACTGAGCACCAGAAATCTTATTTGTTAATACTTAAGCTGTTGAATGGCAGGAGATGATGAGCACAACAATTATGCTCCAAATTAGTGGGTTGCAGGAAGTGATAACGCCTGCAGGCTTTTTACTGTAATAATGCAAATGAGCGTATTGATGTGTGAATACTTTTGGCAAAACCAATGCAGCTCTACAAGACATTCTTTCATTTCATCCTTGTGTACTGCAAGAACAGCAGTGAGCCAGTCAGTCATTACTTCCAGACTTTTTCCAACTTTAATTCGGTAGTGAGATGCTACAGCATTGTACTTTCATTGTTGGTGTGCCCTCTCCTCAGCTTGCAGCTTATATAGGCATGATGGTCTAATCTGAGTACAGTTTTGGTTTTTCTCTGTACTACAATTTGTAAAGTATATGATATATTTTCTCTAATATGGAGATTTATTGCGGGAAAATGAAATTATTATTGTAAAATTAAATATTGAAGTGTATGCAAGGGCAAAATTAAAAAAGATTTAGTAAATCTCAGTACTTGCGCATTCCCTCACGTTTTATCCCAAAAAAACCTTGCAAGTATAGAACAATACCCGTTCTGGCAGAAATTCGGTGTATGTCAAATTTAATATTTGGGCTGACACTAGTGTCTTGTTTGTATTGACATCCCAACCCTGCCTACTGGACTACAGAACCCCTCTCATTCCCTCTCTACATGGACACATTGATTTCTATCACAGCCAAGCAATGCTGCTGCAAAAGTCACACCTGTAGGAAAAGGGCTTTTAGGAGATGTAGTTGTGGAGGACTTGCCTGCATATACAGAAACTGAGCTTTCAGCAGCTGCCCCTGCAAGAATTTTTCAAGTTTTGTGAGTATGTCACAGGAAGTAATTAAAAATGATTCTTACTACAGGAACAACATAAAAAACATGTTCTAGAGAGAGAGGTTTGAGGGGAAATCTGGATAATGTCTGGACATACACTTTAATTAAAGTAGACAATAATGTTTGACAAATCAGGTATGGGCTCTGCTCTGTATAGTCTAGGACACAAACCATGGCCTGATTTATGATTGTATTTTCTGCAAAGGTTTCTAGAAAAATGAGGTGATGCCTACAGCTTTTTGCTAAGTATTAGTGGTCATATAGTGGTCATACAGACGCACAATGAATACCTGGTGTACACAATGACTGACTGCCCAAAATTTCTATGTCGGCTTCTCATTTAGTACTGTGCCTAGAAGAGAATGGCTCAAGTCTTTTAAAAGAAACAATGTACAGCAGATTATTGCGGACCTCACTGTTTCCAATTTGGTACAGAGCAAATCAAATCAAATGCTTTGCCAAACATTTGTGTGCATGGAACTGTTAGGGTTATTGGATAACCAGGGATACCAAGAAATCTTGCAAATGTAACCTGTGCTTTAAAAGCTGTCATCACAGACCCTGGTCAGTGTAAACATTGCTCTGTTTACATTCAGCATGTCTGTGTTGTACTGTAACTGTGGTCAAGGAATAAGAACAAGCAATGTATCTGCTTAAAATACCTGTTAGATTAAATATCTTCAGTGCCAGCAGCAGTAAATGATGATTTTTTTTAACTGCAATTCACTTATGTAATCAATGGAGATCACAAACTGCTAAAAGCAGGTAGTCCCCTGTTTACACCTGAGCATTTTGTCACAAGCAGAAAAACACCTGTCACTGGAAAAAGTACATGAGTTACTTTTTAGCAAATTACAGTGTTTTTTGGTTCCATAGACTTCACTAGGAAATGATGTGCGACAAACTGCTCAGGTGCGAACAGGGGCCATAGAATTGAATGGGATTCCTTGAATTGAGAGTTTTGTCATGCTTAGCTTTGTTTTACAAAAGTTTTATTAAATCAAAGAGAAAGAACAAAAGAGTACAAATAGCACAATGTAAATGTGACAGCACTAGTAACTGCTACAGGCAAGATCAAAGATATGTGTACACATTAAGTGTACAGACCGCCATAACCGTTAAACAGGGGTAGCGTTGGAGCAAGAATGATGAATAAGAAATGAACACATGAGTTCTAACTCCACTATCCACAGTCTGCAGTAGCCACGAGCCCAGAGGAGCATATCACCACGGAACGGTTTTGATGGTCAGCGCAGGCACCCCGGAGTGGATGGTGAAAAACAAAAGGGTAGAATAGAAAGAGAAAATAGCAGAAAGAAAGAGGAAGAGAGGGAAATGGGCTTTGCTCCATCCTCCGCAAATGTTGTGCTCAGCTTTGAGTGACAAAATGCCTAGGTGCGAGCGGGGTGTAGGTGGAGCCAAGGGCTGCAGTAATGACTATCCAGATCAAGTTGTCTTTCCTCCATTGCTGTAATGGATGGTTGTGACTTAGTACATCATTTACCATTCTCTTGTGTTACTGGCTCCAATCTGATAGCATGGTTATTTAATAGATTAGGGATGGTCATGCTTTTCAAGCATTCAGTTATAATGTGTTATAAGAAACACAGTATGATCTATCTTGCTGTCACTGGGCTCTTTAGTCTTTATTTGAACTTTCTACAGGTGCCTTGTAGAGCTTGTTCTCTTACTAGAACTTTGTTCAGTCCCCTCCCTGCATACCTTTCTGTTCTTGGTCCAGTAGCCTGGAATGCTCTCCCCTTCATGAATCTACACTCTGTTGTCTCAGTGTGAGTTTACAAAATGTAGATTTAAAATCCACCGATTAGTATCGCTGCTTAGTGTTACCAAACACATCAGCCATCCTGCATGAACTGTTTTCATCATTAAATGCGCTTTACAAACTATCCTGTGTGAGCCAAAGTCACTTTCCATTAAATGTGTTATTCCGGTGATAGACTTCAGCAGACGTATTGATTTGGTGTGAAGGCAGTCTCCGCACAGACTCTCCCAGGGCTGATGTGGGAATTTCAGGCCTGGGGCAACTAGCCCAGCTACAGATTCTTTTTCCCCTCCTCCCTAATCCATCTCTTATACTATTTGATAGCAGGAGATGATGAAAGTGAATTCTGATGGCCTTGACACACTGACCTTCAAATGTTACTGTATCATCCAAAGATGACACTAGTTTTAGGAGTATTGACAGGTAATGAATGATAAATAAACATTATACACAAAAGAATGGCATGCGTTTACACACTTACAGGACTTTAACTATCATCTTAAAACAGCAGGGGAGCTATAGGTGTAAAGTGTGTTTAGTCAGTTTTAAGCCACAAAAATCAAGTTTAATAAAAAAAAATACATGGCATTTCAACTCTTAATAAATAGCCTCCAAATTTGTTTAAAGTGCACTATTGGTTCTGTAAAGCTAACTATGGAGCAAATCAGGTTGTCACTTGACTTGCTGGAATGTGACATGTATGTCAATGCTTCAATGCCAGGTTTTGTTTTCAGCTTGTTAGATTTGGTTGTTTGATTACACACCACGGTGTTGCCACATTTTCTAAAGCTCTTAGTGAAAGTTGTTGTTTAATACAATTTCATTAAGATGTCAGGTGTCAACACTCCTTTCACAGCATCTGAAAAGTAATTGCTATAATCAGATACCAACATATTCTTTCTTGCATTTTCCTCTTAGGATTCCTGATATGTTACCTAGGAAGGCTACATAATTGCTAATGAGTTAGAGCTCGAGAGGTATTATTGTCATGCTTTTGTGTAGTAAGTGATTCCAGCGTGTTAGAACCATTTGCTTTGTAAAGGTATATTCCAATAAAACATGGGAATTATGCATTTAAAGTGACCCATGCAACCCAGCCTGTCTGCCAAATTGCTTGTTTTCAGCCTTGTATTCACCCTATAGGGCTTGTTCAGACCAGATCTGGATGCGTTTCTGCAAACGCGTGTATGCACATTTTTGACACGTTTCTGATGTGTTACGTTTTTGTTTTGTTTTAAAGCACTGGGACTGTACACAATAGTGTGAATTAGCCTCATTTAAACCATTGGAATTACTCTGTATGCATTTTTGGTGCAGATAAAAAAACGTTCTGGTCTGGAAATGGTGTGATTAGGCCCTTAAAGCTTAGCTAAATGCTAGATAGATCACTGTAGCAACAGTACAGGTTAATATGTTCCTTATAGGGATGCACCGATATATCGGCCGCTGAAACATATCTGCCGAAAATGGCACTTTAGGCAAAATGCCGAAAGTGCCATTTTTTGGTCAATACCTTTCTCTCCTCCCTGCTGGGTGCTGTTCTGTGTCCCAGCGGGTAGGAGAGAAACTGTCAAAGGTGACCGAGTGCTGCGGGGGGAGAGCGCTGTGAGCGGCTGGTGTCTTTCCTGCCCGCACCATTCAGCCTCCTGTCACAGATCGGGAGCGCGTTGTGGAGGTCGAGACAACCAGTGCTGTCACAGGAGGATGAGCTCTGCTAAATGCAGAATAAGAGATTGAGGACTCTTAAGTTCTAAATCTTTTTCTATTTCAAAAGTGAAATATTAGGGGTCTAAAAGTAAAGTAAAAAATAAAAATATTTAATAAAACTAAAATAAAATATAAAAAATTAAAAAGTTTATTAAATAAAAATAAAATATTTTTAAAAATGTGAAAAAGTTAGAATAAAAAACAGTTTTGGTTTCAGCCTGACATTTTTTTCCGGTTCAATTTTGAAATTTTAATTTCAGTGCACCTCTAGTTCCTTATATGGAAGCATTAAAAGAAGGTTTCAGAGAATGGAAACTTGTGACACGATGTCATAGCCTCTATAGGAAGTCAGCCATTTCTGACTGAAGGAAATTTAAGTGGACTTTCCGACTTTAGCACATTCACAGTGTTTCCTGGGCAGCAGTAATAGTTTATGTAAGTCTGGAGTTGTTCACAAATATGCAAATCTAATGTATCAATTGTTCCTTTTTTTTATAGCCCATTGGTGCTTTGAATCCAAAGAGAGCAGTGTTTTATGCAGAGCGCTATGAGACGTGGGAGGATGACCAGACTCCACCCTACCATTACAATACGCATTACTCCACCTCCACTTTTACACTATGTTGGCTTGTTCGAATCGTAAGTATATATTTTATTGTCTAGTGTGTTATTTCGCTTAAAATTTCGAAATACATGATTTAAAATTATTTCTAGCTAGCTTCACTGAAGGACCTAACTTTTGGTAAGGATATACAGTGAGTGGCCAGATTATTATGACCGCCTGACGTTTGTAGGCAAATTAGCTATAATTAGCTATAATTTTGCGCTGAAGTTGCTAGAGGGCCAGACCATTATAAATAGGGAAGCAGATTGTTTACCACGACAGTAGAAGTGATTTTTTTTCCTGAAGATATGGGTAAACAACGCGATTTAACAGCCTTTGAACGTGGGATGATTGTTGGCGCTAGGAGCCATTGAGCGGGTATCAGCAAAACAGCAGAATTTGTTAAATGTTCAAGAACAGCTGCTGTTAAAGCGTTTAAAGACTGGACTGTCAGCCGAAAATCTGGGTCTGAAAGTGCGAATTGTGGCCGTCAGAACCAAATTTGGTGTAACTACAGCCTAATGTTGCAGTGAAATACTCTGCAGTTGCAGTGAAATCTCTCCAAAGTTTACTTGTATTAGGAAGATACTACATTTGCATGCGAGGAAATTTGTCCTCTAAAAAGAAAGTCTTAAATATCCAGCAACTGAAGACAATACTATAAGATTATTATTAGATTGTATAATATCTTTGTTAGATGGAAAATATCATGCACTTTTGGTGAGCACATATTTTTTGTTATTGCCGCATTTACCATAAACAATTTTTTTTATATGACCTGCCAACTTTTACAGTGCTCTTCTTCTATTTTGTATTAAAGAAAAGCTGGCCATACACTGGTAGATTTTCGTTTGAACGTTTATGCAAAGCATGTCGTCAGAACATTTGATAATGCCATCAGAGAATGTTTTTTGAAATTTTGTTTGGTTTTAAAGGAGAACTATGGGGTCAGGGATTTTCCCCATAGTTCTCCTTAGGGTAACAGGAGGACACAAACTAGCGTCCTCCCGTCACCCTAGGCTCAGTATACCGCGAGCTACAGCTCGCGGTACACTGAGACGCCGCTGCCGGAGCGGATCCTGACATCGATGTCGAGATCCGCCCAGCTGCGTGAGTGACAGCTGGCTCTGCCTATCTAGAGGCAGAGCCAGCTGTACCCGCCCCTCCCCCGTCCGTTCCGCTAGTCAGCGCTGGCGGATCGGAGCGGGGAGGGGGGAATCCAGTCCCTCCCCATTCACGGCAGAGAGCCGTGACAGGATCGAGAGGTGAGCGAACCCGGTATGTTTTTGCTCACCTCCCGATCTACTGAGCCGACCGATCTACTGAGCCGACCTGTGACAGTCTCATTGTCACAGGTCGGCTAGAACTATGAGGTGAGTGAAAAGCTCTCACCTCATAATTCTCCTTTAACACTTAGTCTTAGAATAATTAGACTTTCTGGAGCGAAAACCACATTCACTGTTAGAATTTCATTTGTTCAAGAACAATTTTCAATCCTGCTTTTTTTTTTTTTCTTTTTTCTGTCGCTACGGTTGAAAATTTCAATTCGACCCATTAACTATTAAAATATTGAATGAACATTCCAAAGTTATATTTTTTCAAATGAAATTTTACTGGTGTATGGCCTTACATGACCAGAAGCCATCGATGGCCAGGCCAAATTTAGACTTGTCAATATGTGGTGGTTAACTTAAAAATAAGTAATTTACATGCTCAAATAGATTTTCTACATATTTTTAAGGACATATACGTTTGTTATTTGGTGCACTGTGTTAATTTTTTAAAAAGTATCCTCTTTTATTCTTGGCGGACAAATGCACAAATAATTTAATGTACTTTTTGTTTAAAGTAATTGTATCTGACAGTGCAACTGTTAAATAATTGGAATTGCAGATGGGCACTGCAGCCTGGGAATGGCAGTGTTCATCTGCAAACTGAAGGTCTTTATTTTTTGTCAAGGGAGCCTCCAGCCTGCATGTGATCAGAACTGACATAAGGATAACATGAACAGGGACCACTCAGATTGGTTCCTGATCATCAGTGGGGCCCAGCAGTCACTGACCACCAGCTGCTGGAGAGGAGAACATATTTTAATGTGTCCTCGGCATGGGACATCGTTAATATACAGATTATGGGCAGGGATGGTTTGGAGGAGAACTTTACTTTTAGAAAAGTTGTCTTATAATCTTTTTCCCCTTAGTGTAACCCTCATAGCAATATACGTGCCTTCAGACAAGCTCAGGAGATTTTCACTGTGGCCCTGCCCAGCATTGCACAGCCTTTATGGGAACCAAGTTGACCCTTTGCACTCTGCTTACCCCATTCATTCAAATGAGTCCATACATATCTGGAAGGCTGAGACCTCAGTATGTAAGGACCAGCCCTAGAACAGCAGGAGGCCAAGCTTTTCCTTAGCATTTGAGCCGTAAGGACTAAGGAAGAATGCAGTAGTCTGCGCTTTATGATACTTGACAAAAGAATGCAAATAGGGATACATTTTCATTAACATTAAAAAAATATTTGGACAAAAAGGCATCGCTATGTGATCATAGTCAACTGACAGTGTTCACTTGATGTGAGCTGATGTGCCTTGTTTCTAGTCCCTTCATTATGACTATGGATCTTAGTAACAGCACTGATAGAGTGTGCCTGAGTGTTCCCATTCCTGCATCTGCAGCCTGCTGTTGCTAAAGCACTGATAAGGAAAAGATAAGAAGTGCTTTGAATTCAGCATGTTTTAGAAGCACAAGTGTGATGTAAAGAATACAGGAGCAAAAGTAGAGCAGTTTTTCAGAGCAACAAATCTGATTGGGTTTCTGGGCAACTTCATTTTTACTTGTGTATTTTTTGCATCAGTGTATTTAAATAAAACTGGCAGACTTATTCATAATGCAGGGCACTATGGGAGTATAAAGCACAGTAATAAAGAACTATATTGCTTAGAGCAGCCAATCAATATTGATACTTCATTTTTTATAATTCAGGCTAGAGAAATAAAAGGAGGTCTCTGGTTTTGTAGCACTCTCCCGTTTTGGACACTTGTATTGAGGTGTCTAAATGTGACCTCATATAATTCTGTGTTATTTGTTTAGCTCACCTGTCTACGTTTATAGATGAGGATAAAAGATAGAATTTGCTTACTCACTTCAGTCAAAAATGTATCCGAATGTGCCATGTGCTTAACAGTGATCACCTCTCTGCCTCTAATTGTGAATGCATTAAAGCTGTCAGGTGTGTGCTCACTGCTCACAGAATCTCGAAAGGCTATCAGTTAAATCAAATACCAGAGTGACTTGAAAATGTAAAATATTCTGAGTAATGCTTACTTGATTGACACATCTATGTAAGAAAATATTCATTTACAGCCACTTGGGTTAATGGAGAAGAGAACATGATTCTGAGATTAGTAACACATATTTTACAAATTTGTGGTGTTAAACGTGTTAGATATGTGTAAGTAAGATGAAAGCAATACTGACTTACATAATCTTGATTAATGCTCGGTTTAAACAATGTCACTTTACTGTGCAACTTGCCAACGCTTCACACTATTTTTAAAACATTTATCAGTATTGATTTGTGAGCTTTAATAAACTATGTATCTAAGACAACATATTCCTCATTCTGAGTTTCCAGACAGCGTACATCATGCAGGAACATCACTGGATCATGAGAACGTTTTGTATAACCATTGTTATGCTTATTATTTAGACTTACCTACTCCCTAACTATTTTATTGTAAGGATTGGCCCCATGTAGGAGTAAAATGTGTCTGGTATTGGAGGCTCAATCCACTAAGTGAAATTGCATGTGTTTGCCATGATGATTATTTCATCATGTGACCTTTTTTTCAGCTCTCATTGGCTGTCATTCTTGAAAATATTGGCACTTGAAGATCGTTATCTAGCTTTGTGCATATATCTGTTGAATGTTTTTCACAGAAAGGGTTGTATTATTTTATGAAGTCATAACTGGGCCTGCCGTGGATTTAGAGTGCTAAGAAAGCATTCAAAAAGCAATGGCATGGATCCCTCATTCAAAAATTGTGTTGATTGCATTAGTTTAACGTCAGTTTGAGATACTACTGAGATTCATTGACAGATGCATTTAACTTTCTTCTGGCTTGCTTCAAGCAGGTTCTCCTTCCCCATACACTTGTATGGGAATGCAAAACCCATTTGAGTTGAACAAAAGCCTGTCGATACAGACCCTTACAACCATATGTGCACACCTGTTTTAATCTGATATGGCAGTATATCATAGATTGTTTTTTAATACAAAACATATTCTCCAACCCTCATTCAGGGCAACTTTGAATTTTTGAGTTTCCTCAGCCGTTGTTTGGTGTGTTTAGTTGTAAAACAATAGAAGATTCATATTTTGGTTCTCTTAAATACGGATTTTTGTTCTTTTAATTACACATGCATTGCTCATGTTACACTTTATTAGACTCTGCAGAGAGTGGTTAGCAAGACTGGTTGGATGGGGAAGAGTTGTCACTGAGTTGTTTTGTAAATTTGGTTCACTTTAGTTTGTTTTTGTTGTTGTTTCCTTTTGTACTGCAATGCTAAGAAAAAAAGGAAATCATCAAAAATGTATTTCCTGTAAACTGTACAAGGGTAAAGAAATTGACAGGAGTAAATAGATATAATAAAGGAAGCATCAATAATTACTAGTGCGTTTGTGATGTGTCTGGATATAACTTCTATATCTGGTTATGAAGACATGGGAGCCTCTCTGTCAATCATAGCCCCATAATATGTTTCTGTGGATTGGGATTGCCTATTGGTTTCACAGCACATAAATGTACACATTCTGTTGGACTGTACCTCTCTGTTACTTGACAAGGTGAGCAGATACATGGCTCCCAGCTTTCCCACGTTCTCTTGTAACTTTATCCAAATGTTCCCAAAGAAAAATAAAGTCCAGTTCCATAATAAAAGTTTATTTGTATGGGATACAGGCTATTAGGGCCCCTGGGCCAAGCTAGGTGACCCCAAGCTCATTATGAATTCTGTGTGCAAGCCAAAAACACCATTGTACCAAAGCCACATCACTCCTCGATCTGCTAGTATATTTAAAGAAGCTTAGGTTTATCTGGCCATTACTGATGGTGAACATAAAATATGCATGTTTATATTAGTGTTATTAGTAATATTTGTATTTCAGAGTAAATGTTGCAGCTGTTAAGTTTGTGAACCATAAATGTTATACAGTGTGCTGAAATAACAAGGTCATGACGTTTAAAGGGCCACTAAACCTAAAGCACCAGTGAGCTTATATAAAGGATCTCTTGATAGGGCTCACAGAGAGCGGTCCAAAATCATAGGAGGCATTTTCAACATTGATATCTGGCATTGGAGAAGCGCTTTTAATGCCTCTCTGCAGCCTATTAACGCTGATGTGGGATAATGCAATAGCAACCGCCCAGTGTAATTCACACATGGGCGTTAGCGTTGTGTTGCTGTGTGTCACAAAGTAGAGTGCATGTTGCATTCTGGAGGCATTGCCACTGGACAAATGCCTCCATTGAAGTATATTGAAACTACTTGCAGGGCATTTTGCAAGTGCTTATGCCGACTCCATAATGCCTTGAAAATGCCTGCTAAATGCCTTGCTAATGCTATAGGCACGTTAATCAGCGCTGCTCTTTCATTAAATTCTCAACACAGGTGTGAAAGAACCCTAACTGAGCCATTAGTTACTTCAGTAGTTATATTGGTACATCACGCTTAGCCAGCTTAGCCATTCACATAGAAGTGAGCTGCTTTCTGTGCATGTCATGGTTTCATTTTTTTCTTAGTCCAGGTGTGACTATCAAAAAATACCTATTGTATTTACACTATACTTCAGAATCACATGTGTGCATACAGCATCTGACTTTCTTCATGAATTGTAGAGGCTACTCCCCATCTCTGTAATGTAATGCTGGAGTATGCAATTTTATTGTAAGCTATTACTTGACTGTTGCCAACTGAGCATGTTTAAGTAAATATGATTTGTTATTTAAAAGCCATGTAAGCAGATCATATAGGCAGCATGCTGGTATAATCTACCACCAACTGTGGACAAAGCCATACAACAGCTTTAAAATAATTGGCGTATTTGCAACTCTGATTGCTGACCTAGAGTGAAAATTTACTGCTTTTATTAAACTTTTTTTGTTCTGCTGAAGGCAGTTTTTTCCATACAGACTGTAAAAAAGTGATTATAATTTATATTATGTACTGCCACAAATTCCCTGATACATTGTGGTATCTGGAAATATAAATTTGCAGTTTTAATGCACGTACAGGTGATGGTAAAATTGATGTTTTTTATTGTTTGATACATATGTGCAAATGTATAAAGAGTTTACTTTAAGGAAAACCAGTAACAATTGGGTCTATGCAAGAATTAGAGAATTCTGATTTTTTTTTTAAATACAAAAGCTTACATATAGAATAGTTATAACTGCGCCTTTATTTATCTGTACTTTGCCTGTGTCAGACTTTCCAAATTAATTAGTTAGAATGAGAAAGGGAAAGAGCGACTTTCAGATTTTTATTGTTATGAAAAAAAAATGTATTTGGAGTTGGGCTATAAGAATGAATATTCAGATTCTTGTGTAAGCCCAGTCATTTCTCTTTACATGGGTCTTTCACTATTAATCAGAAAATGGAAAAGGCCCCTGCATGCTGGTGAAGCTTGATTGGCTTGGATCTCCCCATTTAGCTTTCCCACCATTCAGCTGTGTGCAGTATCGAAACACATCCCAAAGCCTGTAAAGCTCAGGATTTTTAGTCTGGCCCAGATCCTGCTTGGAAGTCCAATTCTGTGCAGCACAAAAAAAGTTCAGCTGCTCCGAGCACTCAAGAACATTTGTTTGTACTATAAAAAGCTGATCAAGGTGTTACGGAAAAGGAAAACATGTTGAAATTTGTGAATGCCCTTAAAATACTTAAACTAGCGTATGTAAGGAAGCCTGTGTGTGTTCTCAAAATCCAATAAATAAGATTTGCAAAGGGTAAAAAAGAAAAAAGGATTTAAAAACCCAAACTGATTCCCTTATTTATTTATTTTTTGTAGGAACCTTTCACTACATTTTTCCTTAATGCCAATGAAGAAAAGTTTGACCATCCAGATCGAACATTCTCTGCTGTGGCGAGGTCGTGGAGAAACTGCCAAAGAGACACGTCTGATGTAAAGGTAAAAAAGCATTGTGTTCCATTATAATGATGCCAATGAAAATAGGGCCAGCTACCGAAACATTATGTTTGTCTACTTCAGTACCACAGAAAGAACATAACATTTAATGTACAACCAGTACTACTGATTTACAATAATATGTATAAATGACTGGAGAATAATGTACCAGATCTTCAGCCTACTCCTCGTCTTGAAGGCCACATTCTTTAGCAGGCAAACTCTCTGGAGGCAGAAGGGTAGACGTTCTGTCCTTATCTGATCATTTGTCATGCTAATCCTGGCCTACAGAAATAAATAAGGAGTTAATTTTTTTTGCATTAATATACTTAGTTATCTTACATTTAGCATAAGGAACATGGAACTGTGCTTCACACATGTAGCCATGCAGGTAAGGGACATCGGTGAAAATAACCTACTGGAGACCTTTCCTCTGACTGTGCTGAAAATGGAATGTCATGAGTTAAAGTGAAGTTCTAGTCAACTACACTCACCAATCTAGTTGCCACATTTGACAATCTAAAAAGCAGTTTTCCCTGTTCAAAATCAGCATTGCCTCACCAGTGCTTGGCTGCCCTCAGAGACTAGGTGATACAACAAGCCTATGGGAGGTTCTTATTAATATCCTCTACAGAAGACACTCATAGTAGAAACAAATATTGGGGTCATGTCAGTTGCTGGGAGCATTGTTGCCTTGGGTAATGTAAACAAAAGTGGCCCCAGAGGGGCGCTCTTATGGGCTTTCTATGCAGACACAATCTTATGGGCTTTCTATGCAGACAGATGCTGTAAAGTGTGAACAAGTGGCTTGGATTTTCTGTGAAAGCTTTTGTAAACCTTGCCAAAATTTGTAAGAAACTGTTTTCTTTGTTTATGGAGTGTAAAATCAAGACATTCCAAAGTGCATTGTAATCGATGGGGAAGGCAAAACGGAATGGAACTAAAGTCCCGAAGTAACAAATTGTTCGTTTTTTTGGGGTGCAAAAGAGATATTTAAAGTCTTTTGCCAAAAACATTTGCTCCATTTTCATAGCAGATTTGCTCAATCTTGGCATGCCAAGAAAAAGCCATGTGCTGGGGATGATGTAGGGGGTAGATGGCGTTGTTACAAAAGTGGAGATTGGGACTTTGACTTATCACCGTTTGAGGAGGGCACGCTAGGAGGTAAGTACAATTATACTGTTGATACCCCACACAATTTATTTTAGCCTTAAAGTGTTTTTTTGTCATATTCAAGAGTGCATTGAACTTTAAATGGCTCCTGAGCCGTAGGGAGGCCCTGGATTGTTCAAAAAAGGCTTCTCTTTAGCAGGGAACATGATGTTAAATATTGAGGAAAACAAAGCTGAACCCTAACTTTTCAAACAAAAGGACAAAAATAGCGAAAACAATTAACATTTTGGCAAAACCAAAAGCTAATTTGAGGAAATGTTAGCAAAATTACTCTGCTTGTCTCTATTGTTTATACTCCACTATAATTGGAGGGCTTAATTACATATCTGCTCTTGCAGATGTTTTTATATTTCTGGAAGTTTATTGTTTCAGAATATGGTTATACACGGTTGTATACATATTTGTGTGTCTGCTACTGTTTTTCTTTTGTATATGCATGTGTGTGCAGCCTTAAAATAGTCACTTAGGCTCCACCCCTGTTGACCACACTCCCATGTCAGAATTCTTGCTGTTAATTTAAAACCTACATTTTTCTTTGGGGGGCACATGCTTTACATGCTCATCTGCCATTGGACTGTAAAATCTATTAGCCAGGAGTCTGAAAAGAAGCGATTTTTATATGGCAGATTGTCTTGTAATGCTTCTCCATATTCCCTACAGTTCATTTAAATTTGCACATGAAGTAAAGAATTAAAACCGCATATATACATCTTGGTCCTGACCAAGAAAAACCTTTTGACACATAAGACTATGCTTAATACTTTTTAAATAACCCTATCATACTTGTGTAATAGTTGTCAATGCCAGTGTAATTATCCTCTGTATTTTGCCTGCCACATTGTAAATATGTTACCATGTCACTGTCAGTAATTAATGTGTCCTTTTATTTAACCCTATAAAGTGATTGCTCAGGAAGTTGTTCTGGAATTGAACATCTGTGCAGGGAATAATTTTGAAAGCAGACTTAACAATCCTGCAAGAATTATTGTAGCTGTTTAAAACAATTGATGTTTGTTTGATCTTGAGTACTGAAGGTTTTCTGCTTCTATTAAAATTTCTGCTTTAATTTAGATCAAATGTTTGTGCAACAGAGGTAAGAGGAGAAATACAATAAATTCTGCTTTCCCGCTGTTAACTCAATATTTGGTCTACTCCATAAAACACAGCAGGAATTGGATTTGACCTTAAAGTGTCATATTGTAACGGCTTACCCGACACCGTGCTTGCATGGCCTGGGGCAATTAATAAAGCATTAATGACAAGATCCATTTAAAATGTGGACTTTTTCTCTTTAGCCACGGCTTTTTGCTTCTCTAGCCTGGGGATATTATGCAACAACGCACATTAGATTAATCCAGCCAACACAGAGCACCGTGAACTTGATAGAGAATCTTAGTTATTGCCTGTTTTGCACACTGTTCATGCTTAGTGTTTGGTCGTGACCATAAAAGTGCTCAGTCTGTGGTCATAGTGTATGTTTAAGGTTTGCAGTCTGTAATCTTAGGGAGCTTCAACATGCAGATTTTTTTCATTTATCAATGTAATGAAGTTTAGGGTTTCATCATTACAAATTTTAATATCAACTCTATTTTGTATAAATCTTCAGAGGCAACGCCACTGACTAGGGATGTCCTGATACCACTTTTTCAGGACCAAATACAAGTACAAGTACTTCCACTCATGCACTTGCCGATAACAATTACCGATACTTTTTCTTAAAGGGACAGGTGCCTTTAAATTATCCATAGTACAACTACATGTTATGTACTATGGATCATGATTTAACCTATTCATGTTAGCAGGGGAGAATTGTAAATCTATTGCTGTAGTGGAGGTGTGTGCTGTATATATGTACTACATATACATTACACACGTCCAGTACACTATAGCAATAGATTTACAGCCAGCCCTGTCCCAGCTTCCCTCACAGTTTCACTCCGATCCCTGTTGCCTTAAGCGGTGCCTCTTGTAGTCGGCGCTGGGCAGGATCGCTGCATCGTGTCTCGGTGCTCAGCTTGTGGGAGGCGCTCGCAATTCTGCCCTGCTAACATGAATAGGTTAAATCATGATATGTGAGAGAGTCTGCGCTCCTAGAGCAGCTGAGAAGTGAAAGGAGAAATCTCCTTTCATTTCATGAACCATAGTACATATACAGCACACACGTCCAGTACACTGCAGTAATAGGGTTACAATTATCCCCTGCAAACATGAATAGGTTAAATCATGATCCATAGCACATAATAGTACATAATATGTAGTTGTACTACGGATCATTTAACCCATTCATGTTAGCAGGTCAGAATTGTAAGTCTACTGCTGCAGTGCATTCTATATGTAGCACATATACAGTGCATATAGAATGCACTGCAGCAGTAGATTGTTCTAGTTCACACAAAACACTAAGCCCGTGTGGGGTCCTAATTTAGGTGGCCGACGACTGTCTGGAGTGCCGCCCACCGGAGCAGCAGTGACGCGACGCGGTAAGTAAAAAAAAACAGCGCAAGCTTCGGCGCTTTGTATCAGGGGATTTTGACAAGTACTTGTCAAAATGCCCTGCATCGGTCCCGATACCGATGCTTGTATCGGTATCGGGACATCCCTAATACAGCTATTGCAACACAGATGTGGATGAAAAGTCAGCTGGAAGCGGAAAGTTGCCACCAATCCTTGTGCAATTACCTGCATGGCTGGAGGAGGAGGAGTCACAGGAGAAGTGATGGTCATGTGACAGCCATAGGAGGAGTGACAGTCATGTGACAGCCATAGGAGGAGTGACAGTCATGCGACAGCCATAGGAAGAGTGACAGTCATGTGACAGGAGGCAATTTATTATCAACAAAAACACAGCAACTAAGGACAGAGAGATCACTTTATAAGCCCCTCCCGCCCGCTTCCAGGTCACGTGTTTAGGTCGCACTCACCCTCATTGTTCCCCTCCAGGTGGGTGACCTGCACCTCTCTGTGCCCCGCAGCTGAGCTCAGCCCCCTCTGAACAACGCTGCCGTGTCAAACTCCCCATTGCCGGGCAGTGTGAGAGCGCGCCAACTACAGCCGCACACAAGAAGTCCAACCGGACTGCAGGGAGGCGTCTCGTCGTCGCTGGAACTTGTGACTGACACTCCCCTGCTATCTGATTGGTCTAGGCGCTGACAGAGGATTCGTCTACCTTAAACAAGCCCGCGTATTAACGGAGTGGACTCAGGCACAAGGATTTTCCTCACATGCGAGCGCCGCCCACCGAAGCAGCAGTGACGCGACGCTCGGCGGGGAGCAGAGGGGCGACATTGGTGTGGAGTCCCGAAACATGCAGTGCCGGGCGGTAAGTTGCTTTCTACATTTAGTCCTGCTTTGGGAAGGCAGGACTAAATATAGTGTCAGGAAGCCGCTTGTTCGTTTACAAGTGATCGCGGCGATGTCGCCGCAATCACTTGTAATGTGTCTGCAGCCTGTCCGTCCTCCCCGCACCGACCTCTCTCCTCTGGCTCCTTCCTCGGGACTCCGTTCTCCCCCTGGCCGCCGATGCAGGGAGCAGTGTGTAAACAGTGAGAGGGGAGAGCTTCCTCTCTCAGCTGTCACAGGAGTTCCAGCACAGTGCTGCATTGGAGGTGACAGGGTCAATAGAGAGAACCTGTCACCTCCAAATGCTATCACACAGGGGCTTGTTAGCTCCTGTGTGATAGCAATAAGGTTAAATGAAAACAAATTTGATAAAAAAGATCATAATAAGAAATAAAAATTAAATGAAATATGGTTTGGAAGGGAGGGGGGCGGATTGCGGAACCTGGCTTTGGGGCAGCAGGGAGAGTAAATCCAGCCCTGTCTGTAACAACTAGCTATAACAGGCTGGCAAGTTCTCGGAGTCAGCCCAATGGTCAGATAAACGTGTGCATGAGGTGCAGTTCTGTTAGTATAGCAAAGTTCAATGATCCTTTGTACCAGTATTATAAGTGGGTTATTACTGGTTGGTTTTGTTGAATGGCATTCAATAATTTGGCTGCTCCCAGTGCTGTTGTAAAGACACATTAGAGCTTGCCACGGCTAAGGTAGCATTGCTGTGCAGTTTAGGATCTTCACTTGTCCCCTGAGTTGTCCTTGTCTTCTGCTGATGTCATTACAGATGCAGGACATCACGCTCTGGCTTATTTTTTTGGTTGTAAGGCATCGCACAGGGTTATTCACTAAAGGGTGAAGAGTTTGGAGAAGGCAGGAGAAGTGAACAATCTAGGACAACATAGCAGAACTAGAAAGTGAGCTGAATTGGATCATTTTTCCAAATCAGATATTTGGGCCTAGATTGCTCACTTCTCCTGCCTTCTGCAGACTCTTCACCCTTTTGTGAATAACCCTGATAGTCTTTAATGACTGGGCTGACTTATTGCAGGCCCATTCAGGGTGACAGCTGTAGCAGCTACTGATAATGCAAAGGGGCTCCTTGGAAGATGACTGTAATATTTTTAGTGATGCTTTCCTCATGTTACTAAGAAGCATGCATTTTGCATGGAATACCTTTAACCTATTTAATGTGGTACTATGTGCCTTTTTATGACTTCAGGTCTTTCAGGTGATTACCAAGCTGGCAGTCAGTGTATTAAAATCCCAGCTCCTTTAGTGTGACTTAATGGGCTGTTGCATTTGTATTTTTATGATCATATTTTAGTTTACCTACGTCTCTGCTGAATGCTGAAAAAATAAGGGTTCATATTTTCTAGCAGCATGAGTACAAGGTACTGATGTAGACTGTGTTGGCAGAGCTGCCCACAATGGAGATCCTGTTCAGTGATACACCCACTTCCTGTAAAACTCTACTGACAAAGCTGACCATACATATCCATGAGAGTGGAGGATAGCACAAGGGTTGCAAATATTGTGCTTTACTAATAAAGTTAGTATAATAAAGTAAATATAAGTATAAACTTTAAAAGGGTGCAATGTTTTTAAAATCAAACCCCAAAATTCACATGTATGTCACATAAACAGGGTTTATTAAAGTATCTCTAAACCCAAGAACAAAACTGTAATATATTGCAGCTTTTCATTCCTTAGATGTGGAGGCTGCATTAGTTGTTTGTTATTTGTTTTTTCCAAAAACATTTTCTGCAAGTCCAAAAAAATAAATATCTTTTGATCCTGTCAGAATATTATTGCCCTTGTAACATCTGCCATGAACTGAAAACTAGTCAATCATATCTGAATTTTGTGAGCTTCAAACCCCCCCCTTCCGTTTTTAAAGGGGGGGGGGGGGTAGGGTTTGTAATCCAAACAAGGAGAGAAGCCTAGGGTGACATGGCTGCTCCATCATTGATACAGTAAAGTTGAGAGAGCTTTGTCACCCTTGGACAGGGCATTTGGATCAGATGAAAATAAATGAAAAAACCAAACAACAGAAAACTAATGCAGCCACCAAATCTAAAGACTGGTAAGCTGCTTTAATATAATTATAACATTGGTTAATAAGAAGCAAACATTTTTTAAAGTTCCAATGGTCCTTCTTTGTTAATGAAAAGAATATGTAAGAAGAATCATGGCTAGTAGAATGATATATCGGGAAGCTGGTCACCCGGAAACAACCTTAGCTCACTCTGCCGTCTGATGGCTTTTCCTATTTCTGCCCTCTCCCAACCTTCCTTATAACAGCTGACATCTAAAGAACCTACTGTTGAACGCTAATCTGACCCTAAAGCCTCTCAAAATTGTTTTACGACTTTCTGGATATAATTTGTTGTTGTTTGAAAGGGTTGCTGTGACAAGATGTCGTTAAGGTGACATAGTGTAAATTAATACACTTAATGGAGATGATGTGGACTGACTTACTGACCCGTAGTGAGCCCGTTCCAACTTAATAGATGCCCAGGGATCAACTTTTGCTGAGAAGAAATATGGAAGCCATAAAACTCTCGGTGATAGTGATAGGAGAGTGAAAAACACCTCCTTCAGGCTTTCATTTTGTAGAGTAGCCATAAAAACAGTAAGCTTTTCTAGCGGAATGTATTAAAATGAAATGTCAGTTTTGATTCAGGAGGTATACAGTTTTGATAGCGTTAATAGTCGCCTTTTATCACGCCGAGACATTCCTGAAAATCTCTTTAATTTTTCAACAGCTCAGGCCTGTCACAGGCCTGTAAATTACAAATGTGTTTTGAGATTTTCTCCAACGCAGCACAGTATGCCAGTAAATGTATTTTCAAGTTTTAATAAAGCAGTAAAACAATTTGGATCACATATACAAAGGTGGCCTATCAGTTATTCTGTGTTTTATTGCCAAATATGAAGCCTCTATGTCTCACATATGAAGCCTTCATGTCTTAGCATAGCTTCCATATGAATTGTTTGTTTTCTTTGCTGATACAGATACATAACAACCATATCTATTAGAAAAACATACAAGGTATTGATATAGGGACCCCCTTCCCCACAAATACACCCAGTGCTTTTGGTTTAAAAGTACAGTATATGTAAAACCATTGAAAAAAAGTTGCCCTTGCAGTACGTCTACCTCCCCACTGCAAGGGTTAACTGCTCAATAAATCTGATGACATACTTAACTTATTCCTCGCTCCCACAGGTTTCCTCCCCTTCGTGCAACCAGTCCCCGAAGCCTCTTCCCTTTGCTGCCCAGCTGGTCACAGCTCTATAACATCATCCCATACAATGCAGGACCAGAAGTCCTGCATTGCAAGGAAGGATGCTGAGGGCTCACCCATAACCTGAGACATTATCCCGGTCCGCAGCTGCAGAGATCGGGATATGTCTCAGTGCCTGTGATTGGCGCTGTCGGCTTCCTGGCGGGCTCGGCACGTGGAGCTGCGAACACGCCCAAGCCCATCACTAATGGGGACTACAAGCGGCCATGTGCATGCAGATAGGTAGTGGCTGCACAGAGGCTACAGGAGATCAGGAGCACATAGATGCGGCAAAGCTTAAAAAAAGTTGCTTTAGCAAACTAATTGTCATTCAGGTAGGGTTTACATCTACTTTCAGTTTAGGGTAGACTCCATAGGGTTTACTCTGCAACCAGCTTCCAATATCTCTTGGAGACTGTAGTACTGTGTGCACCATAGTTTACAGGTCTGCTTACCTGCATTACATGCTCCTCCTTTTTGAGCTTTTCATTATTTTTAAATAAAAGTACACCTGTCACAAGCCTGTGCAATCCACACTGAGTGTAGGTTAAAAATGCAAAGATTACCCTCAGATGTCAAGCCAAAACAAACAGTAGATCCAGAGGTATTGACTGCTGAATGTTTATGCAAATCCCCCAACTTCTGAGCCTCGCCAATGGTCAGGTAATATGTTAGCTGACCGCAATGTCCATTGGGAAGGTTTGGGACATAGTTAGGAACGGGGACCATGCATATTACATTTTAGCTGCCATACCTGTTGATCTGTTGATTTGATAAGGACCTAATGTTTATGCATTTTTCATCATTTGCTTAGCTACATCAGGTGGACTGATCCTTTAAAGTAAACCTATGGTGAGGGATATGGAGGCTGTCATTGCTGACTTCTCTTTCTGAAATTGCTATATGCCTGGATATCCTGCTGACCCTTTTGCTATAACATTTTGGCTCATTGACCAGGAACTACTCTGCAGATAGAGTTCTTACTCTTCTTTGACCTTTATGATCTGCATTCTTGTTCTAGTCACCTCATACAGCTCATGTACTTGCTGCCCTCAATAGACAGTTATGTTAAAGTGAAAGTCCAGGCAAAATAGTTTTAAAAAAAACAAAATTTTTCATACAGTTCTGCAATACATGCACATTTCTCCACAAAAAAATAACTGTTTGCGTGCCAGAAATATATTGTGCTCCTCCCACTTTGTCATGACAACACTGTATTTTTCAGCTCTACATTTCAAAAGATATGGTGTCAGCCCTGGCTATTTAATTTCTGATGCATTACAAAAAAAAGGGCCTCTCCTTATCTCCTCCCCCCTCCTCATGTCTATATCGCCTCCATGTCCACAGGCAGAGAGCACAGGCATTTGAGCGCACAAGACTCTTAGCAAAATCAACACTTACTTTTTGCACTTCTTGAACAAATATAACAAAACATTTTCAGTGGGTATATATTTAGCAGATTGTCACTACTAAACATTTCTAAAAGTATGTTTGTTGTTTTTTTGAAGATATGGGTAAAGGTCCACTTTCAGTTTTACATAGGCTTTAAGGATTGATAAGTAAAAAGATTGATAGGTACATTAATGTTTGTGAATTGGCCTTTACATTGATCTCATTATAATGGCTATTAAGTCAATTTAATATTAGTACTAGTAGTGGTAAAATACAATTTACAGAGCAGGCTATATAAAGTGCTCTGAACCTTTGTAAATTAATTCTCTAGAGATATGAACTCTACAAGAAGCACTTTCAGAAAATAAACGGTCAAACAAGAGAAACACACCTTTGATAATTGCGCTTATAAGACCCATTTCCATAAGACATAATGCACAGTTTATTTTTCATTGCAATATTTTTTTTTTCTTCAACCATGTGACTGTTGCTTAAAGCTCTCATTAGTCCTCACTACCAAAAAAATATGAAATATAAAAGGGAAGACAGTGCAGTTACAAGACAATTTCATACAAGAGTGTGGTCGTTATTGCAAAAAATTGTTTTTTTTTTTTTTGCCCCCGCCTGCCCCAACTTTTTTTCTTCTTCTTAGTATGCTAACTTTTTTTTTTTGGTAATGGCACATTAAAACAAGAAAAAAAATACACATTTAAATTGTTTGCCTGAATGCTTTTTTTTTTTTTCTTACCTTACCTGTAGGAGCTAATTCCAGAGTTCTACTACCTACCGGAGATGTTTGTGAACACTAATGCCTATAACCTTGGTGTAAGGGATGACAGTACTGTGGTCAGTGATGTAGATCTGCCACCTTGGGCAAAAAATCCTGAAGATTTTGTTCGGATCAACCGAATGGTAAGTGCTATTTTTGTCTTATCTCCACTTTAAAATTTGTATTGCTATATCGTTTTAGGTATGGGAATTCTCTCATGTCTAGTCATTGCAGTTTTCTAATTCACCTATAACCACTAAGATCATAAATCACCTATAACCACTAGATCATAAATTTCACATGTTAATCTTTTGTAACTGAAAACAATTGGCAACCCATATGAATCTTACTGTAAATGGCATTAATGTTATTGGCCTCTTAAATAATAACATACTGTAATTAATAGAATTATTACACATCATGCGACCACGCTCTTCTAGTTCCAGCAATAGGCAGTGCTTGGATCATTACTTCAGACAATGGCCATCACTCCTTGCTGCAGGTGATAGAGCTGTATGCTTAGGGAGGGCTGTGAATGACACAACTTGCCATTGCTGTAAGAAAGTGGCCTACAACATTTTTGGTAGTTGTAGAAAAAGGTAGCCTGAAAGGTAATTAATAATAGCAGTAAGTTATAATATAGATCATGTAGCAGTTATATGAAATACTCACATTCACTGGATTAATTAAGGTCCTCCCGGTAAGAAAAGTAAAGATGACATGAGTGACTTGACACATGCTCCAGTGAATTTGGGTAAATGTTTTTGTGGGAATACTTTATTTTTAATATAACTTACAGTAAAGATTGTGCAATTGATTTGTATTGGGGGTTAGAAGTAGGGCTGCAACTAACTATTATATTCATAATTGATTAGTTGGCCGATGTATTTTTTTTTCCGATCAATAGGATAAAAAAAACAAATTTAAATAGCACCATATTTAAAATAAAATACACAAATGGAATGTTACAAAAATAATGTTTACTTCAGAATAAAACTGCATGCACTTACTGCACTAAAACACAGGGCTTTGCGGTACTGCGTGTTCCAATGCAGGCAAACGCACTGCAGGCGTGAGGCGTGTTTGGGGTGCCATTAAAATGAATGGCACCGCAACACACCTCCCGCAGCAGAATTTGTCAGGCTGAAACTGAAAATGCAACTGGCTATTGCACTGCCTGCTGTCAATCAGCAGAGGAGGAACCTAAGGAGAAAGTTCTCCTTCGGCTCCTCGGCTTCGGCAGAACGGTTGAGTAGAGTTGCGGGGGCGTAGAGGGGACAGCTGAGGTGAATCAACTAGTCGCAATCAACTAAGCGATAATGAGAATCATTGACAACTCTAGTTGTAAGCAGTTAATGTATTTGATAGTGATGCCTAGGGTGGTTTTACTTTACAACAACAATACATTGTGATTTTGTATTTTTATTCAGTGTATTTGCTAGTTTTAAACTCATGTTTAACTCAAGTTAAAATTCTAACCTACTTTTAGCTAATATATATATATATATATATATGTGTGTAAATGTAAACCCATACTGTATATCACTTAAAAATTATGTAAACAAGGAAACATTTACACTCACTTTAACACAACAATTGCACTTGGAGGAGAGTGACCCCATTGCATGACCTTGAAGGATGGGTGGGGGAACATATCATCTCTTGAGCCCATAAAAAGAATCACAAGCAAATTCAGACCACTGTTGTTATCCAAAATAATATTGGTTTTGCTTTATCTTTTAATCGGGTATTGTTATATCTAAATACTACATGTAGAATAACATTTGTAATGTTAATAAAAATTTACAGTGGTAAGAAAACACTGTAAATTCCTTACTTGTCATTACCCTTTTATTGTATGAAGTCCTTAGGGTAGATGCAAAAAAAATCAGTTTATACTTTGGGGAATATTTTACTGGTCTCATTCACCCATGGAATCCAGTCTGATTACTGCTGAATTACTCATGAAACATTAATAAAGGCTTGTGTTCAATGCTAACGTAGTTATATTCTGACCTCAGTGATGTCACAGAGGACAGGAGCAGTAAGTAGTCCCTGATAACATTACCTTAATGCTAGCTTCATCAATCATAATCTAGCAGTAGAGAGAAAGCTTTCACAGATGTGCATCTACAGCCTAACTCAGACTCTCAATCCCTGCAGACCTGAATTGATGCTGATAGCCAAAAATAGAACACACACACAAAGACAAACTAGCCCAGTTTATTCCAATTATGTAAGGGCAAAATTAAAGGGATATTTACTCATCCTGTTCTGCACTATTTAATATACGCTAAACTAGAATCTAATCTCTGCAAAGTGTATCACGTGACATAATTAATTATTTGGAAGTGAAACACCAGCTCTTGTCCATAGTATTTTATTTACAGTGCTTATAGAGTGAATGCATCTCCTTAAAACATTAATGCAGGAAATCAATGTAATTATAGTTTTATATTATGAAGAAATTATAAATTTTTCTTAATAAAAAAGCACAGCTAATATTATAAAATAATGTTTACTTAAACCGCACAAGCAAATTTGGCTTTCATGAACACCTAACTTTCTGTGATGGTAGATGACTATTTTTTTTAGCAAATGACAAATCCAAACCCTCTACATTTTCCAAAACACTCAGGGGATGATTTTTAAGTTACGTGCCAATACATATGCTGGCTGAATGCGGTGCGCACTGCATTCTCGCCACTAGATGAAACCAAGGAGAATGCATTCAGCCAGCGTATGTCTCCACAGATAATTTATAAACCATCCCCTTTGACAGTCATTACTTTATAGAGTCATTATCGTTCTGTCCTTTCATGCATTTCCAGTAATCAACAACAATAAAAAAGTGCACTAAACAAAAACATACAAAAAACATCTCAAAGCAAATACATTTTCTCATGTTCCTGGAAAAGGTTGGAGGATTAAATCAAACAATTCACTAGTTTCTATGGGTACATTCCCTGACCCCATACACCACTACAGGAATGACAGCGGGAGACAAGGGCATCCAACCCTCCTGGAATTGTTGAATGCCACTGAGGCTGGCTGCAGTGCTGACGGGAGGTTGGAGGCACGGGCTGCTGGAGATGAGAGTATGAGATCTCCTCTATTCCAGGGTGCTGGGGCTATGATATTTTAGAGACTTATAGAGTCTCTCTAACTGCTTCTGGACTACCGTACTTATATAAACTGTGCTGTCCTGAAGTGGTTATACCAAGATCACAGCTGTTGCAGCAGCCATGATCTTGGTACCATTTTTACAGCTGGCTATGGGTGTCACATACAGAGGTTCAGGCGGCTCCATAGCTTGTATGGAGCCGGGAAGAGTGTACACCCCTCCACCATCACCGGCTATTCCAGGCTCCACTGTCCCCCATGCGGGCCTGGGATAGGCACGATCAGAGGTAGATCCAAACACTTCCAGCAGCTGATCTCCCCTCCGATCACTGAACCCGAAAGCAACGTGCATTACATCACTTTCGGTTTCAGCCTGACATTTCTCCGGTGGCTGTGGATGGAGAAGAAGCTGATGGACAGCCTGGGTTTCATTACCTCCTTTGGTGTCCATGGGTGACAATAGGGGTCTAATAGACCCCTGATGTCTCCATAAAGAGGACCTGTCACTTCCTCTTTGGTATCACATGGGAGCTTTGTTAGCTCCCTATGTGATAGCAATAAAGCGAAGTGTAAAAAAAAAAAAAAGGTTAAAAAAATTGAGGGCACATATAAAAAAAAAAAAAGCGGATTGGAGTCCCCCACCTTCACATACACACACATACAAATGCAAACACACATCGGTTACACCTATGCGCGAAAGCGACGATTGTGCCACATGCTACATATTACCAAGAACGTTGGAGTGAGAGCAATAATTTTAGGGCTATCAATTACTGTAAACATTAAATTTATGAGCAGTAAAGGCTCTTAAAGCGTCACTTATGCGCAATTATGGATACCGTGGTTTTATTGCATTTCACAGTCACACACAATTTTAGGGCTTGATATGTTTAGTATCTATTTATCCAACACAACCCCATCTTTTGTATGTTCCCAAAAAATGTGGTATTCTGTTTCTGTGCATTACATTCATTTTAGTGTATTTTATACTAAAAATGTTCATTTGATAAACATTTGCACAAATATCATGCAACATTAAAAATTGCATACTAGCATTTTCTTTATTCTACATGGCCTCTCCTTTCAGAAAATATATAAATGGGGGTTTTAAACTTTTTCGTAGACAAAATTCAGATTTTATCACGTGTGTGCAAAAAGTAAGAAATTGCTCCAGAAATTGGATTATGGTTTCTAAGGCACGACTGTTGAATGGTTTCTAGTTTTGTGAGTTTATTAAATTGCTAGAAAATTGTACACGTGTAAGGCCAACATAAGGACATATGCACATGAATGTCTTTGAACTGTTTTAAAGCAGAAAGAGACTTCAGCAAAATGCAGACCTGCTTTTTTTGTCGGATTTCTACATGAATTATCTTTTTTCGGGGTTTTTTCGTGTTTGAAAGGGAATGTCGAGCCAAAAACTTTTGTTTTATTTTTAGATACATTTGAGTACGACAAAAAAAAATCCTGTCTAGCCTTTACTGCTCTCCAGGGTTCTATTTTTCTTTATATTCCCCCCTATCGGGGGAAACTCCACAACGCACACAAAAATCTGACAGGGGCTCTAGACTTGTTTTACTATTAGAGAATTCCCTTCACTTCCTGTGTGGTATAACATTGTCAGCAGGACAGGAAGTAAGAGGAAAGCTCAGTAACGGATCCCCACCTAGCAGTAAACCACTGTAGAGGTTCTAATCCTTCCCCACTTTGTCCAAGAATAAAAACATACATGGGTAGACATACACTTTAAGGAATAAAGAATAGAAAATATGAAGACAGTCACTAGTTATAATCGCATGAAGAGTTTTTTTTGTTTTTTTTTTATACTTAATGTCTTTGAATTAGAATTCCTTTCGGTGATGTAGATGATGACATTTTAACTGAGCATTATCCAATTTATATGCCATAATGCATATATAATGCAAAACATTAGGATGTTCTTGAGATGAACACATGGGGCTTACAATGAGTTTAGTAAAAATCTAAGACCATTTTGCAGTTTTGGTACAACCAAACTAATGTTTCAGTTTTGGTAAATCCTGCGGAGTAGAATCACAGATACATAATCTATGTCTAATAGGGACTGTCTGCCCCCTTTAGGTTCCGAAGTTCACACACCTGCAATGGGATTTGCAAAGGGATCACCCTATACCTGTTCCATTTTTAATGTATTTTAAGTATTATGAAGCATGCAATAGCAGGTGAGCTTAAACGCCAGAATAGAAGAGAACAGAGCAATGGCAGGGAGAGTTCACCATTGGTAGCTCAACTAAAATGGAAATAACAGTTTTGGGGCTGATCCTTTTAGGGCAGTAAACATACTTTCACCCTGCCTCGGTACAGCATTATAACCAGACTTCAACTAAAACCTGTATGAACAGTTGCTTTCTAGTATGCCTGGCAATCTCGTGACTATCTGCAACTATGCGTTGAAGGAAAATAGCTGAGACAGAGAGAAAACATTATGAAACTCAATCCCCTCTAGCCACCTAGACCTCTGCTGCCTAATGTGCATAATTAGATAAAAACAGTGCTTTCCCCAGCTTACATGAATCTTTAAAAATGAGCAAGATAAAGGCTACGAAATCCTGAATACATTAAAGGCACATCTTCATGCTGACATCAACACCTATTTTATTGTAAATGGAAGCTACCAAATCTGTAGCCTTTAATGGAAGAAAGATTTGTGTTGTGGATGCTTTTTTAGCAATATGAAATTATGTAAATGACTGTTATTTTATTTATTTTTATTTATAATTTATTGTTACATGCACATTGATATATCAGTTCCTATTTGTCTTTGGTTTTCATTTAATGGTTTTCTAGAGAAACTAAGAAGAAATAGGACATTGTTATCATTACAGGGCCACTACAAGAAGGAGCACCTGACATCCGCTGAACATTTTTCCAGTGCTTAATGCTTATTTAAAGTATCTCACCTCAACCTGGGATGTATTTAACTCTGTTGTGCCACTGTACCCCTCCCTGGCAGTTTCCTGCTTAGAGAAAGATACCCTTCTAATTTCCATCTGTTGCATGCTTTAACTATATCAGGGCAACAAAAGAAAATATATTGTTGGTATATAGAGCTGCTGTGACCCACAGCAAAGATACAATACTGATGGCTCCAAGGCTATATTTATTGTTAGTATTTTACTGAACTATAAGTTGATGCATAAAACCAGTGCTGGATATACTGCTGTATAACCTGTCCTGCTGCATAGTAGCTTAAATGGACACGCAGGAGCCAGTCAAGCAAGTTAGAGACATCGTCATATGGGAAACCAGATGGACAGGGTGCAGAGTAGAGTCCCACATTTTGCTGTTCATCATTTTAGGTCACTTTGTTGAAACCCAGAACCATAAAATTAAACATGTTGACCATGGGTGTTCTATTTAGGACTGGTTTATGGAATTAAATTATCATAGCATTAAAACGTGACATTGATTCCCTCAACTGCATGGCTAGTTGATAACTTGTTAATTTATGTTCACCATTTCATTTGTCTTTCAGGCTTTGGAAAGTGAATTTGTATCTTGTCAACTACATCAGTGGATAGATCTGATATTTGGCTACAAACAGCGAGGTCCAGAAGCAGTGCGCGCACTAAACGTTTTTCATTATTTGACGTATGAAGGTTCCATAAACTTGGACGGCGTCACAGATCCTGTATTACGAGAGGTATGTGTCTGATGGAAAGAATTATCATCCTTGCTATAAATAAGAAGTTGGGAAAATAAACGAGATGAAGTAGAGCTTGATGTACATGGCTAGTCATTATCCATAAAGGCGTAAAATGGACTTACAGGGTGTTCTGCCAGTGAAACCCACCTGTAACACTGGTATGACTTTGAATCTGATCCTGTCAGACTTTAAGAACAAATGCAAATGTCCCTCAAAATGCACCATACTTTGAGTATACTTGGAAGTATTATTAATAATGCTCACTCCAGTCCTACGTGCCTCCGTAATGTTTGCTTAGCAGAGTGTGAAGAAGTGCTCAGCTGTCAATCAGCTCTGGAGCATCACTGTGACCTCAGACTCTTCTAAAACGTATTCTACTTAGATCTGCCATTTACAAAGAACATGCAGTATATTTTTTAAGTGATACTAAACTCAGGAGTGAAATCTTAAAAATGCATTCAAGTACCCTATTAACATAAATGTATCTTATTTGTGTATCACTCGGCTGTAGATCCTCAAATCATCTCTGAATGGGTGCTGACACTGTCCTTCCTTCTGGAGGGTGGCTACTTTTATTCCCCATGGTCCCTGTGTGTGTTGCAAAGTAGCCACCGCTCCAAGTTCACTCCTGTGATGGACTACAATCTCATGTTTTGACATTTGTATTGAGGTTAAGCTACATTTTTCTTAATAGTAAGTGTACTTGCATGCATTTTGAAGATTTATCTCCTGAGTTTGGTGTCCCTTTAATGAGTTACACATTTTTTCCATTTGAATCCAATTAGAAGGATTTGCAAATCTTGACTGAATGTTAAGTGAATCTTGGGTGAAAATATCGATAAATTGACTCCCTACATATTCAGCCTATGTAGAGAACAGCAAAATGGTCATTAGTTGCCTACCAAGTCTGGTTAAGCAGTCCTGGTGGTAAGTAATCCCCTGATTGTGTGCAAGCTGTAGACAAGTGGGCCTGCCATGGGCTGTTCCATAGAAAACATTGACCAGGCTAAGCCAGACTCTATCCTACCACCGCCAGACACTTCTTATGGGAACAGCAGGCAAGGAGACTGAAACCACTGTGTGAAGGTTGTGCAATAAATCAGTCAGAATGCTGATCTTACTAAGTTGTTATATACTATGAGTAAGATAGCACAGGTCTGCCTAAAGCTAAATTCATTTTTATTTTATATTTGTGCATCTATCCTTTAAAGAAATCCACCAGCCTCTATTTATGAGCAATATATGTAATTTACAAAAACGCTTGAGATCCTTACAAGCGTTCAGTGTGCTGAGGCACATAGATATATGCAATTTTCAATAGCCTAAAACAATTGCCTTCAATACCTTTACATCGCATAGAAACTTATTATGTACACAGTCTCTGCTTTGGTTTGAAATATTCATGCACTTGTATTATGACACTTTCACCCTCCATTGTCAGCACATTTTTTTTATTGTAAAACTCATTTTATTTTCCATATTTATATTTATTCACTATCTTCCATGGGGGATAGAGATGGTTTCTAAAGACATACAGTGAATGGGATTTGTGGGTGAATAAAACAGACGGATAGGAAATGTAAAGTTTAACAGAAGGTAGAAAAAAAAATAGATCGACCCAGTCTTGCTTATGATATAGCTGGTAAAATAAAATTCCACTATAATGACCTGCTCCCTGGATTCTCTGTTAAATAACTGCAACAGTAATGCAATTGACCAAAAAAAAAAAAAAGGCTCTTACAGAACATGCCAAACCGTCATTCACCGTCATATAAGTAGGATATCTGATTTATAGCTGCCTACTGACCCTCTTCTGAAAATGCTCTTTGCATGGCTGTCATTCCGCCTGCAGTACTTTGAGTCACTAACCAGGAAGCAGCAGTCAGACCAGAAAAGTCAGAAGTCTTTATCTGTAAGCTTGTTATGGTTCAGTTACTCAAAGCAATGAAGCAAGTGGGTTAGGATGATAGCCAGGGAGCTAGAATTTTTAGCATTACCTTATTCCTTCAAACCGGTCCTACAAAGCAGCTCCTCTTCACCAGATATGCAGTTACAACCTCTCCTATGTCATCACAAACGATGCAGGGTCAGCAGTCATACATTGCATGTGAGGACATTAACTAGCATGCCCAAATGCCAGGAGCAGGAGAGAGCATCAGCAATGAGAGGATGAGAAGAAAGAAAAGCATTTCTGCTTACTCCGTACCCCCTAGACCCCTGGTGCCCAACCTGCGGTCCTTTGGCACTTACTGTGCGATCCTCGAGGTCCCTGCAGACAGTTTGTGTTTTCCTTATTAAATAAAACATTCTATAGGCTGCTTTAATAGTAATTACATAGCTTGGTTTATTTTATTAGGCTGTCCTTTCCCTTTTCTCTTTTTATGTTTTTTTTCCTGATATTTTATAATAGTTCTTGCAGGGAAAATATCAAATATGGCACAAGTACACTTTGAGGGGACAGTGCAGAACACAAATGCTGTAGCATTGATTTGCAAAGGGGCTGTAGTAGCAGTGACCCCTTGTAGTCTCATGCAGTGCTGGGACAAGGTTCTCTAGCACTCAAGGTGAAGATTTGAAAGTGTGCCACTAGTCCCCCCTACACCCCTTTGGACAGTTGCAGAATCTAACGGGTTAGGCATAGTAATTGGACAGTTTGGAAAAACATGTCCCATAACTCATTTTCCTTTTCCTGACGAGATGAAGCCATTGGTGCATGTAACATGCCTTTATAAATATAGGCTCATTGAAGATGTCACTGGTGGTGGGATTGAGCTTGCACAGCCATCCACACTTGAATGTCCTAAACAATAATCCCCAGACAAAGAGTATGGTTTGTCTCTTCCTGCTATATACAGCAATACATTGCTTGTTTTTTTCTTAGTAGAGGAAGGTTAGAACCTATATCAGATATCTTTTGCTCATTGTGACCCTGTTGCAAATTTTCTGATTTACTCCAACTTCCTGCCTCATAAAACTGTAGTCACTGGGGGGACAGGAAGTGAGTGTAAGTCTCTTTAACAGAGCTCCAGATAGCAGTAAAACCTGAGAGTGGTTCTGATCCTTCCCCACTCCATTCAAACAATCCCCCCTCCCAAAAAAAACAAAACAATTCTGCAGCCACCCTTTCGTTTCCTCATCTTTTATAAGCTTGGATGTTATTGCACCCCTCCACTTCAGAAGCTCCCTTGTATGCCTCTGGGACGGCCTAGCCTTGGTCTCATGTAATATGTGTCTTGGAGCATGTCCCCAGTCACAAACAACTCCGATAGCCAGTTCAAAGTCTCTTACATCTCTTGTGTGTCTTCTGTTTCTACTGCTTTCTGTCACTTTACATTCACTAAATATTATGTGCAGCCCTTTCAGGGTCGCACTTGAGGCCCCTTATATCAGGATACTGTTAATCAACACTGCCCCAGACTAAATAAGCATTTTACCCTTTTATTATTTCTAACTGGATTTCAGATTTAAGGTTAAGTCCACATTCATCACAGTCCTGGAACCACCATGTTTTTCTGTAAATGCCCCTTATTGGTTGCAGTATTGACTCCAATCAAATTCCATTTGTAGAAATGATTTGGAATTAAACTGTCTAACCTAAGTCCGTGCAGTTAGAATGTTACCAGTGTGTTTTTTGTTGTATTTGTTGTTGTAATGGAAGTTTGCAGAATTCCTTTCATGATACATATATTGTATATGTGGGTAAAAAGGTCTACATGTAAAAGAGTCATGCAAGTCTTGATCCTGCCTGAAAGTAGGCTATGCAAATATGATGAGGGAAGTCAAAAAGTGCAACAGCTGCTAGATGAGTGGTGCTGAGATTTAGAAGATGCTCTCTGCATCCTCCATTCCCCCAGATATCTGCCATCTGCCGTATGTAAAACATGCAATCATTTATACATTGCCAGGCTGTGGGCTTGTGTGCATTGCGTGCTTTGTGTGCTGTGTGTGTGTGTGTGTGTGTGTGTGTGTATCTATATATATATATATATATGATACACATACACATACATACATACATACATACACACATACACACACACACGTCTTGAAAAGCAATATAATTGTGAACAATGTTTTGTCTGTCTCAGAAAGGATTTGCAGCACCTTATCAAAACTTAGAGACTGCAATACATGACATTAGTTCATTTGGTTTACAGTTCCTTTGTGCACCACTTATGTACCACTGCTCCATACTGTACTCTGTGCATTGCTGCAGTATCAGGCTGGGCTTCTAGTTATGCAGATGCCGAGACCTGCTATCTGTGTAATGCACTGCGGGCTCGGCCATCACCCAAGCTCTTTTTTCTCTCTAGTCTTACTTGGCCGCATTAACGTGATGCAACCCAATGAGTTGATTGTCTTGTCTTTTGTTAGCTTATTATAGCATAACCATTCCCTTTTTTTCAGGCGAAAAGCAAAACTACAGTAGAGAGTGTTGGCTAAAGTGTAAATTAAATGCAACACACATGCTGTATGCTAGAAGATGCCTTTCGTTACCTGCTTGTGTCAATGGGCAAATGCAGCTTGCACTGGACATCAGTTTGAGATGCTTCTAAAATTATTTACAGGTGCATTTGACATGCAGTTGACCTGCTTCTGATCTGCATTTGACCTTCTAAGTGGCATCAACTTTCTTTAGTCAACTTTTACAATCCCATCGACTTTTATGGGGAAATAATCAATTCTGATGCATACAAAAGCCTATCAACACAGTCCCTAACCCCGCTACCCTAGCCATTGGCCCTTGATTGTGAACTTGCTAAATGCTGCCCCTTGGTCCCTACATTTGTCCAAATCTAAGAAACACGTGGTGACCCAATCTGTGTGTATATAGCTGCCCTTAGGTGCATCTCTTAACCTTGTACAGTCAGTAGTTTTATCTAGCCAGGGTTCAATAAATACTAGTTGCTTTGTTGGCAAGTCCCTATATTCTGCTGATTGGAACAGTTGGATACATAGGTATAGCCAGGGAAGATGGGTGCTAATTTATATGCTGT